GCTCTACCCACTTATTAAAGCTAGGACTCTTAACCTAAGGTCCAAGGTCTCTCAACCTACGGTTCAAGGACTCTTAACCTGCGGTCGAGGTCTCTCAACCTATGGTCCCAGGATTCTTAACCTACGGTCCAAGGTCTCTTAACATTCGACCCAAGGACTCCAAACCTACGGTCCAAAGACTCTTAACCTACGGTTCAAGGTCTTTCAACCTATGGTCCAAGGACTCTTAAGGGGGGACAGGTAGTCAAAATGCTAAAATTTTAAACACATGACTAAGACAGAATATTTTTTGCTAATCACATTGCAAAAGCAATAAAAACACTTAAAAAAACCAATTGGGACTAATTAATTATTTTTTTTATGCTTTTGATGAGAAAATAGGGGTAAAATTGAGCAATTTTATATACTTACAGGAAACAGCGTAGCTCAATAACCACCAATAAGAATTCAATGAAACTTGGCATAAATATTAAAAATAGGACATTGCACAATGTGATAGAAGGAAATTAGCATAACTGAAAAAATAATTTTTTTGTGAATTTTTTAAAATTATGTCAAAAAATAATCCATCATTTACGTAAACTGTTCTATCAAAATTCAAAATAATTTTTTTGTCTCTTAAAATAGAATAAAAACCCTCTATCACATTGTAGATAAACATGTTAGGAACATGTGGTGCAAATTTCTTTATAATCTGATAGGTTGTTTCTGAGATACACTGCTTCCAATAACCTGACCCTCGTAAAATTGACACAAATGAGAAAATGCAAAAAGAAGTTTTATTATTGAAATAATTTATTTTTCAAATAATTAAAGTGGCATAAAGTTATATTATTATATCACCTTGGCTTCTTGAAAATATGATACATCAAAAATATATTTAAAAAGTCTTTCTGTGGAAAAAATATAACTGATTCTCTAGCCCACCCCCCAAAGAAAAAAAATGCGAAAAATTTAAATAAATCTGCTCTGAGATAAAACTGCCTCTTTTCCTCTTATGTGTTGTGGAACCTCTTCTGAGCAATAGCTGACTGCCAACAGTAACATGTCTTTCCAGTAGGGCAGTCATGGTGTTTAGGGTTCTCATCAGGCCAGGCAGCTGCAAGCATGCGGAAAATGTCAGAATATTCCTCCGAAGGTCTTTTCATCTGTAACTTTCGATGGCCACTGCATTCTCACAGAGCCACTGCTGAAGATTCATTTTATCTGTTAAAAATGTATATATAATTACACTTTGCTCCATCAACAATAAATATAGTAACAGCATTACATTTTTTTTATAAATGCAGATAGATAATATATTGAGCAGCTGTTCGTGGGGCCTATAGAGATGACAATATAAAAAAAACAATTATATATCATTATGATATAATCCTTACAATACTTCCAGTCTTACACTTACACCCACCTGGCATCAGGTGTCATGGCACTCTTAGATTCTACTGCCACCATGTTTCCAAGAATAGTACCTGTTCGAAGCAAGCTGTACTTTTGGCTCGCAGAATCGCTGCTTGTTTTCTTGGTGCCATTTCACTGCAAATAAATCAGAACAATTTAATTTTAGTCATCAAGGTAAAGAAAGGATTACAAATGAAGTGGTTAATTCCTTATCTTTTAAATTGTTGATGATGAGAGACGTCAATCAAACCCAACAACACCCACACACCTTTCAAATAACTAACCTCAAACAAATTTTTTTTTTTTTTTTTTAGTTTACACTCAATTCTTGACAAGTAAATAAGCACATAATAAAATATATCTGGTTAATGATAGTTATTAAATATTAAAACTTTGAAACAAGTATATATATATATAATTTATAATTTAGTTAGTTTCAGAACTGAAATGATCCTTGTATTTATAATAATTTGTATGGGTAGGTTGTCACTACTGACGTGAGAAAGCATGACGTTGACGATACTGATACTAGTACTATTACTAAAACAATTTTTAATAATGAAATGGTAAATCATACTACATCCATATTTACCTTTGGCTTGTTATTGAACAAATATAGTGAGCACGAAAAGAGCAGCCTTTGATAAATCCAATGTAAGTCTGACAAACGGTGGATAGTTTTATCAACACAGAATGGTTGCGAAACGAAAGTAACCGTGTTGCATTTCGGTATACGGTAACCCAATTTGTGCTATTTTTGGTAACATTACTTATAGTTGACCAATGAAATTACAGGCTTTACTACACGATGACGTAGAAGCCGTCTAAACACACTTTTACAACAAATGTGACGTATTGCACAGCTCGCTTCTCTTTGTTAGGTAGAATGATTTTGAGATAAGTAGGTCAAAGTTGTAGCCAGTGGTCTAAGCTTTCCAAAGAGGCCTAACAATAGGCATTAGGCTTGAAGGAATGCGGTTGTAAAGGGTTTTAAAATGACCATAACGTGTCGGAAAGCCGATTTTCCTGAAATGGTTGCCTAGATATGTGTTATATTAGGACAAATTATGTACTTAGAACAATTATTTTTAGCAAATTTTATTTGGGGATTGTGTTTATAAGAGGTTATTGTAACCAAATATACACTTTTTGGAAAATTGAAAAAAAACAAAAAAACATGATTTTTACGTAAAGTTGACTACCGGTCTCTTAACGTACGGCCCATGGACTCTTAACCTACGATCGATAGGTGTAAAAAGTTTAAGAACCCCTGTTGAAATTGGTTTTATGATAACATTTTAAAAGAGATTAATTTACAGTAGTGTTGATATTTCAAAGTCTTTATTCCCAAAACAAAAAACAAAAAAGTTTGTTTTGTGTTTTTTTTAGATTCCCGAGTTTTCTTGTAAAATTAATATACTTATTTTAGCAATGCACATGACATGAAGCAGTTTACCTATAATTTTTATGTGGGTGACTGGGTGGCCAAATGGTCTAAACTGAGCAAACCTCAAGTTGGTGGTCTGGTGTTCACGTCCAGCCAGTCAAGCAGAAACATCACCCCGGGTGGATGAGACTCGTTAACCTTGGTCGGCAACCCATCTAAGAGAAGGAAACTCTGAATTCAAACCCGGAGTTGGAGTCCCGTAAGGCGCAAACAATGACAATTCCTGCAACCGAACCCATCCCTGGTCGTCTTGACGTAGAGTCTTGCCACTGGATATGGTGGGCTCGGACGAGAGAGTGAGGTAGACGCCGCGCAACTCTTCTTCACTTTAAAACAAAGTCATCCGCGCAAGTCATCAGTCACCAGACGACTCGATGGTCCTCGTCGATCCTCGACGGACAAACAATAAAAAATTTTATGTAAAAAAAAAATAAAAAACGAAAAATGCTCCGTGTCTTGTCGCACAGTCCAGGTAAAATATCGATACCTAATTCAATTGACGTGCAGTGATCAGTGCTATCAGACGGATAGTCGGTGTTCTGCACATTTTTTAAACAAATTTTTTTTTCGCAGAAAGCATGGCTCCAAAAAAACAAAAAAGCAAAAAAAAAAAGCGATCTCATGTTTTATTCAAAGAGCAAGACATCTCTTTCAGGAATCATCCGACACCCAAAGGCCTAGACCGCGCGGTATCTTAAGCGCAGCATACACTAAAGCACAACGCGTGTGTGCCAACAAAATAAGAAGATAGCGGGTGCTGTGCACCGACGTCTTGGGTGCAACCTTTCCCCCGGGGGTGTTCGATTAAACCCAAACATTTGCTCCCAGAAACACGTCCCGCGGTCCAAATCAGTTCGGAACATCGACGCTTTACCCAACTTTCATTTTATGACACTGTAGGACAGCGAAAAGTTGAATTGCTATGATTATTCTTTCACGCTGAGCTGGGATCACATGCAATAGTTTTAGTTTTCTGCTACTACATTCCTAGGGGGGGGGGGGGGGGGGNGGGGGGGGGCGGGACTTTCTTTGTTAATCTAGTCTTCACGCCTGAATGGCGGCAGGCGTCTTTAAGACCGTACGATCACACGTGTCACGTGTCCTCACAGAGGTCACGTGGGCTTGGAACTGCAGCAGTAGCCGTTGAATCGAAGATGTGCAGATCAATTTAATCGCTTTACCGCAGATATAAGTGTGTGTGTGTTTGTGTGTGTGGGGTGGGGGTGTGTGTCAGGGAGTCTGAAACTATTGCTTAAAGATACCGAAACATGTCACTGGGACCTACAGCGAAAAAAAAAAGGGGGGGGGGGGGCTGGGTGTTCACATATTACCAAACGAAGATATTCTTCTTTCAAGAGCTCATCTATGGCATCACGTGATCCCTTTTCAACAACACGGGTCACGTACCTGAGTATTCAACCCTTGAAATGTCCTTGGAAAAAAAACAACAAAGGTTTACTAATTTACATGAATGGCGTCGTTGGCAGGGGCGGAGATCTACCGGATGCATTGTCCAGACTGCAATGTATTGTGGATCACACAACAAATAACTTTGTCTTTTTTTTTTTTTGAAAAAGGGTGTCGGGTGGTGGTTGAGGTGTGTTGCCTTAGTCCATAATTATTTGCAGGTAAACCAATTATTTCTGACCGGACTAGCTGAATTCCGTTTTCAGTTATCAATTGCTATGCGGTGGGTGGAATCAAACAGTATGAAATAACCTGAGAACCTCTGGGTTATAACACCCAGTAGATTGTGGTCATAGAATGCCCCCCCCCCCTTTTTTCCCTCTTTTGGTTGCCTAACGAAAAAGTGAAACTCCTGAATACGGTTTTCATTTAATTGAATGGGTTGCATGTAAAAACGTTCTGAAAAGCTTCTATAATTTCTTATGTTGTCGCATAGAGCGTCTCTGGACTTACCTCACAAGCTTTTTATCGTATGATCAGAAAATACCGGGAGTCGGGGGGTGGGGGGGTGGGGGGGGGGTAAGGGTTTGTAGGGCTTGCTATGTTTAATGTCTGTTAAATGCCGATGTTTCAGAAATACACGATCCTCCATTTCAGGGAAAGGGGCGGGCGACGCGGGTGTGTGTGTGTGATCTGTTGGCGTGAGTTACTGACTTCGTTTGTACGACTCAGCGGTTTGGTGGCAAGCATGCTGGTGTAGAGCTGTCGCAATGAGAACTGGATATAGACAATCTGTCAGTGAATCTAAAAGTGAATTTAACTAGTGAATTGAACAGTGTATTTAATAGTATATTTAACAGTGAATTAAACAGTGAATTTAACTTGTGACTTTGACAGTGAATTTAAATTGGGAATTTAATCGGGAATTTAACAGGGAACTTAACAGTGAATATAACGGGGAATTTAACTTGTGAATTTAACAGTGATTTAACTTCTGAATTCGACAGTGAATTTGAATTGGGAATTTAATAGTGAATTTAACAGTGAATTTAATAGTGAATTTAACTTGTGAATTTATCAATGAATTTTAATTGGGAATTTATTAGTGGATTTAACAGGGAATTTAACAGTGAATTTAACAGTGAATTTAACTTGTGAATTTGACAGTGAATCTGAATTGGGAATTTAGTAGTGAATTTAACAGGGAATTTAACTTGTGAATTTGACAATGAATTTGAATTGGGATTTTAATAGTGAATTTAACAGTGAATTTAACAGTGAATTTAATTTGTGAATTTAAATTGGGATTTTAATAGTGAATTTAACAGTGAATTTAACGGCGAATATAACAGTGAATTTAACTTGTCGAGTCGGCGATGGTGAGGTAAGAGTCACAAAAATTATTGACATTTCACAATCGTATCCTTGAAAATGCCGTGCCGTAAAAGTTTGGGCAGTGTAAGGACGAAATTTTCTGAAGATTTTAACTTAATAAAACTACTGGTAGAAGAGTATAGCAAAGTTCCAGTGGTTTTATCAAATCTGATAACTTTTACCGGACAGTCAGGTCACAGGCGGTAAGAGACGACCGGGCGATTAAAAAAAAAAGCTTTTAATTTTAAAAAATAATACTATGAGAAAAAATATCAGCTTTTATTTGCGGTTAGAGTGGTTTGGGGGGGGGGGCATTAATGGAAAGGTTTATTAAAGGGGAAGGGGAATTTTTTTTTTAATGTTTGCCCATTAAAAAATAATACTATGAGAAAAAATATCAGCTTTTATTTGCGGTTAGAGTGGTTTGGGGGGGGGGGGTCATAAATGAAAAGTCTAATCAAGGGGTACGAGTAATTTTTTTTTAAAGTTTGCCCCCACTATTGCTAGTCAATTTATATCATAATGCCAATATATACGGTTAATGTTGAGTCTACAGCAGAGCCCATATTTGTAAGAATGTGTGTTAACAAAAGCAACGCATTATGATCAGGTGGTGGGAGAGGAGAGGGGGGGAGGGAGGGGCTCGGAGGTTATGATCAGGCCTCAACACATTATGTTACACACAGACGCAAAGCAAATACTTTGACGTAGCGGTAATCGAATGACGAGGTTAAATTGAACACAAGTCAAACACTAAGCAATCTTCATGGCATCAGGACATTTCAGTATTGAATTTGATATTCAAGAGAAAGCAGCTGTTTTGGAGTGCGAGAATGGGTTGGAGATCTAATATTTTATTAAAATACTAGAAATAACCAGCCAAACGATGGAGACAGCAATTTCTTGAACTATCTATCCACTAAAGTTAATTGACCAACCATTCTTTCAAATAACGCACTTTATACGAAACCCAATTCGTGCCAACTTCTGGGAGTTTTAATTTGCGCACCTAATGACAACGCAGTGTTACAGCCGTACATACAGATTTAGAGAATTATTTTGTGTCATGTTGTTGTCCTGAAATCGATCATTCAATTCAAGGGGCGCTATGCACACTCCACAGGACAGACGCGCAAAAACCCGGAAGGGTGAACACCCTGCTGATAGCCGGCCTTGTCGTTGACGTCATAGGATGTGTCCTGCACATCGTTGGGATGGCGATGCCTGATTGGTCAGTGTGGGAGACAACATCCTTGGGAGCATTCATCGCCTGCTACATTAACGTGGGATGTAGTTCGTACTCTGATAAAACTCGTAAGTTTCGCTGCTTCTTTTATGTTATGGTAAACTACTTTTGAATAACAGTTAGGTTATCAAATAAAACAATGCGAATGAGATGGAAAGTGGATAAGGAGAACATTTCTGAAGATTGGAAGCAGGATTTTCTTCAACACCACAGAAATCTTAATATTATTCGAAAACGATTTTGAGCAAGAAAACGTGTGCATTTTATTAAAATTGTTTATTTAGTTTTTTTTATGGCTTTTTAACATTTTTTTATTTTTTTAAGTGGGTGAGGTTATTTGGGTTAAAGAGTTGAGCTTATAACTGTAGAAATCCCAATATACTGTAAAAAGATATTCAATAAACAGTGTTATTTTACTGGTTTAAAAAGTCTTTGTTTTAATGATCAACAGTGACAAAGAAAGGAGAGGACCAGCGAGAAAATATATTATTATTATTAGACCAACATTACCTTGGACTTGTTAAATATATACAGTGATTTACCTTGAACTTGGTAAATATATACAATGAGTTACCTTGAACTTGGTAAATATATACAGTGCTTTAAATTGGACTTGGTAAATATAATAATATACAGTGATTTAAATTGTACTTGGTAAATTATATATACAGTGATTTATCCACTATAAAAGAGAGAGTGGGCATCAAACATGGTGAAAGAAGGAATAGTCTTTTGAAATGTCTCTGTCAGCTCATATCCTTTCCGTAATGACGTAACATGTCAAGTTCAAGTCTCATGGCTTCGGCGACCATGCTTGAAAATGTGATGAGACAAACTTAAAGATAGCTGCAGCTGGAAACATATGATTGTTTCACAATAAATGTGTCCTGTATTAAAACCAACTCAAAATTGATAAAGTATTTCTCTCTCTTTTCAGGTGACATCGAAGCCTTACAAGCCATGCTGATCCTAGGAATCATCTGTGGCGTGTGTGCCGCGTGCCTAGAAGCTATTCACACGATATTTCGTTTGAGACAGATTAAAGTCTTGTCTCTGATAGCGGGAATTCTGTCTATATTTGCATGTGAGTTGCTCTGAAAGTTATAAAATGGGGAATTCATTACAATAATGCATTATAGGATTTTTAAAAATATTTGAGAGTGTTTAGGGAGAAAGAGGTTAGGGTTTTGATAGGGGGGGGGGGTGCTGGGGGTTTTAGCATTATTATTCTAAATAAAATCAGAGGCGTTCATTTATTCTAGCACACACGATTAGCTGTAGTGTGGGTCTGACGTTGCAGAACACATTATTCAAACTCAAAGTTCAATCAGTAGATGATCAGCAGTGCGTGTCTTGTGTGTTTCACTGTGCGCTTTCGTGCCACGTCGCAGGAGTTGTCAAAATGTTCATCATGTCAATGTCATACCGCCTACGGGTCTCCATCTCCGGGTTTCATTTCAGTGTTTTCCTTCTCTTAGAGGAGTTACCATCCAAGGTTAACGGGTCCCATCCAGTTGGGGCGACGGTAATGCTCTTACATGTCTAGGCCAGTTGATCGACTACCTACACTCAGCACAGATTGGGGCAACACTACGCAGGCTTATAAATTACAAAGGTTCTCAAACTAAGCGTTACTTCTGTTCACCACGGACACCCCACTTTCTAATTAACTAAAGCTATTTAAGTACACGAGATCGATGTTGACATCAGAAGACAAAAACGACTGGAAACTGCGGAAACATCCCTGCGTGTCAACTCAGTGAACATCCCTGCGTGTCAACTCAGTGAACATCCCTGCGTGTCAACTCAGTGAACATCCCTGCGTGTCAACTCAGTGAACATACCTGCATATTAACTCATTGAACATCCCTGCGTGTCAACTCAGTGAGCATCCCTGCCTGTTAACTCAGTGAACATCCCTGCCTGTTAACTCATTGAACATCCCTGCCTGTTAAATCATTGAACATCCCTGCCTGTTAACACATTAACATCCCTGCGTGTCAACTCAGTGAACATCCCTGCGTGTCAACTCAGTGAACATCTCTGCGTGTCAACTCAGTGAACATACCTGCATGTTAACTCATTGAACATCCCTGCGTGTCAACTCAGTGAGCATCCCTGCCTGTTAACTCATTGAACATCCCTGCGTGTCAACTCAGTGAACATCCCTGCGTGTCAACTCAGTGAGCATCCCTGCCTGTTAACTCATTGAACATCCCTGCGTGTCAACTCAGTGAGCATCCCTGCCTGTTAACTCAGTGAACATCCCTGCGTGTCAACTCAATGAACATCCCTGCCTGTTAACTCATTGAACATCCCTGCGTGTTAACTCAGTGAACATCCCTGCGTGTCAACTCAGTGAAAAGCCCTGCGTGTAAGCTCATTGAACATCCCTGCCTGTTAACTCATTGAACATCCCTGCGTGTTAACTCAGTGAACATCCCTGCGTGTCAACTCAATGAACATCCCTGCCTGTTAACTCATTGAACATCCCTGCGTGTTAACTCAGTGAAGATCCCTGCGTGTCAACTCAGTGAAAAGCCCTGCGTGTAAGCTCATTGAACATCCCTGCCTGTTAACTCATTGAACATCCCTGCGTGTCAACTCAGTGAACATCCCTGCCTGTCAACTCATTGAACATCATTACGTGTCAACTCAATGAATAACCTGCGTGTCAACTCACTGAACATGACTTATTAAAGACTTCAACTAGAATAAATTATGTACAATGCGATCTCCTTTAAAATAACTTCCAAGATGTTCCACATTTTACCCATACGTCTTCATGTTATCAACACTTCAACCCTTTACCACACGTCCACACTTTACCCACACATCCACACTTTACTCACACTTCCATACTTTATCCACACGTCCACACTTTCATCCACACCTCCACACTTTAATCCACAAATTCACACTTTATCCACACCTCCACACTTTACCCACACGTCCACACTTTACCCACTCGTCCACACTTCACTCACACGCCCTCACTTTAGAAGGGAAAATGAGACATTTGAACCCCCCCCCCCAACCCTTGACACTTTTTACTCCGATCTAAACGAAGCTCGGTCCATTCATGACAGTGTCCTATTCCAGGAAGTCAAACTTAAGTTTTAACAAATAGGCAGTATAACGACAAAGATAAACAACGACAAAAAAAAGTCCATAGTCAATAATTGGAGATAAATCTCGTGCACTGCAGTGGTGCCACTCGGCGTGATGGTCCGCTTGATGACACCAGTCTTCAATGAATAAACATTATTAAAGAAAAATTTAAAAGAAGATAATGACCAAAGAATGGCTTCTACTCCGTGGTGCCTCTCAGGCCTGGAGTGGATAACACTCCGTGCTGCAACGTGGATGAGTCTTGTCTCTCAGGCCTGGAGCGGCTTCTACTCCGTGGTGCCTCTCAGGCCTGGAGTGGGTAACACTCCGTGGTGCAACGTGGATCAGTCCTGTCTCTCAGGCCTGGAGTGACTTCTACTCCGTGGTGCAACGTGGATGAGTCCTGTCTCTACGGTGATTGCTTATCACTACTGCACATAAAGATATAATGTTTCCTTTCAACAACAAGACTATAATCCAGTGGCGTATCTTGACTAAACAGCGCCCCAGGGTGAAGTACCAAAAAATTGCGCCCTTAATACATATACATTAGTAATTTAAATAATGTTATTTATAAACCCAATATTTTGGTCCAGTTGCCCAAGATAAGATTAATACTGCATTAGACTTAGAGTGTTATTATTTAAGTATTGATATAATTATGTTATCAATTTATATATATATATATATATATATATATATATATATATATATATATATATATATATACTAGATAGAACCCACCAAACATTAGCAACAGAAATGTGTGAACTAATATATATATATATATATATATATATATACTAGATGGAACCCGCCAAACATTGGCGACAGCAATGCGTGAACTTCCCATCTACTAAAGTTACTTGACAAAGACGTGAACTCAAGTAATGCACATTTAAAAGAATCCCAATATTTTGCTACACCCCCCCCCCTTTTTTTTTCATGATACGTCACTGCACACTTTTTATTTCACGCCCATGAACTATATTAATATTCTCATGTCCAAACCACTTTTAAACTTTTAAACCGATTATTTTTTTACACGATACTTAAATTGAGACGAATGTTACGCACCAAACGCAATTGCGTTATTAATATATATATATATATTATATATATATATAACATTTATAGCTTAGTTATCGGGAATTATATTTTGCGCGCTAGTGAACTCATTATTGAACCACACTCTGGCGTATCTATAAATAGCCTGCGTGGTGTTTGAACCTTGTTGGTGTTTGACCTTTGCTGGCGAATTATATATATATATATATTTTGTAGAAATCAGATCAAGTTACAAATTTGGTGTCATGATTACTTTTGTTGCACCTCATTGAAACAATTTCTTCATGTCCGTTCAACACCCCAGGTGTCTTCATCATCGCTGGCGTGATCATCTGGGGGGCGAAAGCTGACTTGGAGTTGGGCGACGGCTTCGACTTCAGCTTCTCCTTCATCCTGTGTATTGTGGCCAGCGTCTTCCTCCTCAACGGCGGGGTCTTCTTCCTGCTGGGCTATTCGGACACGGTGGAGTCAATATAAAATAGATGGCTAGGATCGGGGCTGTGCAACAAAAACCTGCGCCCTATGGAGGCGTGGGAAGTGGGGGCTGAATTAAGGTGTACCTCGTTTAAAAAATAAATTTAAATGATTAAACAAATATACCTGAAAATGGCTATTTTTGTGCCCTCTGAAGATAACGCCCTCTTCCCATGTTACTGGCAAGAATGCATTCACAGATGTGGCTAGTATCAAAAAGGTATTCTTTTACGATGTGGCACAATTCATTGTTTTTGTTGTTTAACTATTTGATGTTTAGTCTTTATAAATAAATCATTATTAAAATTCTACTTCCTTTGATGTTTTGCTGATGATAGCTGTTATTGTGGTCATAGATGTTGTGGTGATGGGGGCTGTTGTTGTGGTCATAGATGTTGTGGTGATGGGGGCTGTTGTTGTGGTCATAGATGTTGTGGTGATGGGGGCTGTTGTTGTGGTCATAGCTGATGTTGTGATGGGGGCTGTTGTTGTGGTCATAGCTGCTTAGGTGATAGTGGCTGTTGTTGTGGTCATAGATGTTGTGGTGATGGGGGCTGTTGTTGTGTTCATAGATGTTATGGTGATGGGGGCTGTTGTTGTGGTCATAGCTGTTGTGGTGATGGGGGCTGTTGTTGTGGTCATAGCTGCTGTGGTGATAGTGGTTGTTGTTGTGGTCATAGCTGTTGGGGTGACAGTGGCTGTTGTTGTGGTCATAGCTGTTGTGGTGATTATGGCTGTTATTGTGGTCATTTCCGTTGTCATGATGGGGGATTGTTCTTGTGGTCATAGCTGCTGTGGTGATAGTGGCTATTGTTGTGGTCATAGCTGTTGGGTGACAGTGGGTGTTGTTGTGGTCATAGCTGTTGTGGTGATTGTGGCTGTTGTTGTGGTCATAGCTGGTGTGGTGATGGTTAATGGGGCTTTGGTGGTTATTCTGTAGCGAACAAACAAAAGTAAAGAAACAAAGAAACAAGCAAAAATCAGAACACACCTTTTCTTAATATACACCATTTCAGTATAAACTTAAAGTAAGTTACTTTCAAGAGTAAACTTGCAGGTTCTAACCTCTTATAAAAGATATGTACAAATACGTTGCAACTTTAAAAACACACTGCATTGGGACGCAATAAGCTTCATAAAAAAATTTCATCGATAGCTTCTAAACAGTGCATACTTTTCAAAGTTAATGACTAAACACTTCCTAGACGCATGCGATTGTTATCATTAATGCGTAGCAATAGAGGCGCCTCTGAGAAAGTAGTTTTAAAATGCACGAAAATAAGTTATGCTAATATTTAGCTTAGACTTAGGGGTCTACTGTTACTGGGATCTGCCTTCCGAAGGTCTACCACTAGAGAGGTCTACCGTTACAGGGGTCTGACTTCCGAAGGTCTACCACTAGAGAGGTCTATCATTACAGGGGTCTTCCTTCCGAGGGTCTACCACTAGAGAGGTCTATCATTACAAGGGTCTGATTTCCGAAGGTCTACCACTAGAGAGGTCTACCGTTACAGGGGTCTGACTTCCGAAGGTCTACCACTAGAGGGGTCTATCATTACAAGGGTCTTCCTTCCGAGGGTCTACCACTAGAGAGGTCTACCGTTACAGGGGTCTGACTTCCGAGGGTCTACCACTAGAGGGTTCTATGTTAACGGGGCCTGCCTTCCGAGGGTCTACCACTAGAGGGGTGTACCGTTACAAGGGTCTGACTTCCGATGGTCTACCACTGGAGGGGTCTACCGTTACAGGGGTCTGACTTCCGAGGGTCTACAACTAGAGGGATCTACGTTACATGGGTCTACCGTTCCACCTACAACTGTGCACCGCACACGCGTGTTTGTGAAAGGCTCTGCTTAAGCTAAGGGCCCAATACAGTCTCAGCCGCCTTATCAAATCTATATAAATTGTATAGGGAAGAAGTTTAGACAGATTTCTATATGCCTTTGTTATTATTCAAACGAAATTTAAGACTTTAGACCCTCTGGAAAAATCGTTACTGTAAAATGTGTCAACACGAGTCGTGTCATGTTAGGTTAACAATGGACCAGGTCTTCCTAATAATAAGCGTATTGAGCTTACCTTTTTTTTTTTTTTTTTTTTTTTGTTTTTTATTTTTTTTTTTTTTTTTTTTTTAAGGTTTTTTAAATTTTTACCCACCCATTTTTTTTTATTTTTTTTTTTTTTTTTTTTTTTTTGTTCTCTCATTATTTGCTTTTTGTTTATTTAAAGGTTTCTCAAATTCTAGCCAGCCAATATTGTATAATTATTATTATTTTTTTTTTTACTATCCTAGAGAATGAAAAGGATGGACAGAAAAGAAATAGAATGAAATAAATAGCACTAAATGTATTTAGAGAACAAAACTATAACCATAGAGGGAAATATAACAAATTTAATTTTAGGGCCCTTATAAAAATGTTTGTGGTATTTTGACCACTGTATTTTTTTTTAAAGAGAAACGCTGTTACGTTCCTGTAAAATGTTCACTGACTTGTGTACCGACACGTGTACAGACACTTGCACTGACACGGGGATTCTCACATAATGTGACCTATTATTACATATCTAAAATATCCTTTAGTCTTAAAAGACATGGTAATGAATAATTTGTTGTCATAAATGTTCATTGATATATTTATATATATATATATTACATTGCATCTATATATCAGGGATTGAATCCATTTTCATTAAAAAATTCTTTCAAATAGAAATCTTTAAAATCAAATGCTCCTGAAGTCTTCAAACACAAAATTTCATTTGTCTCAAAAATAGAAAAAGTGGACAACTGTGGGTTTTCCCCTGTAGTCTTCATATATATATATATATATATATATATATATATATATATATATATATGATAGATAGATAGATAGATAGATATATAGATAGATATATAGATATATAGATAGATAGAGAGATAGATAGATAGAGAGATAGAGATATAGAGAGATAGAGAGGTAGAGAGGTAGAGAGGTAGAGAGATAGAGAGGTAGATGAGTAAAGAGTTAGAGAGGTAGATAGGTAGAGAGGTAGAGAGATAGAGAGGTAGAGAGATAGAGAGGTATATAGGTNGGGGGGGGGGGGGGGGGGGAAGATGGGGGGGGGGGGTGCGAGTGGATTTGAGTTTCTTTGCTCAGATATGGGAAACCTTTTCAAGAATATTCTAATGAATCACGTGCGTGGCTTTTTAGACATTATGCGTGCTTACATGGGCTTCTACACAGCGAGGAGGGGTGGGGGAGAACAGACGCCCCTGCTTGCATAGGTGTATGCTGAGAATTGAGTCAGTCAGTTTAGGTAAACGGCAAGCCCATACGGTAAGGCCAATCTAATGTGTTACACAGATTGTTGCATACCAACTTGTTAACAGTCTTACAGTACGTGCCGGGCTTTGTTCGCACCGGGTCCATTGTGTTGACTGGCACCCACCTCTTCAGCCTTCTCCAGGATTGAATAACGTTGGGGTCTCGTCCGCTTTTTGGTAGTCTAAGGCTGATCCTATACTTGACTAGACTAGGAAGTGGTCCATGGGGTCGCGTGGGGTCACGTGGAGTCACGTGGGGCCATGAGGTTTACGAGTCCTGAACCAAGAGTAATGTTACGGTACGTCAAGTATTGATTGATTTTTTAAAGTATTTTTTTAATAGTTCTAAGTAACGTATAAAATACATTCTTAGAACCACTGTACCGTGCTCAACAATAGAGCTGGAAAGATGGCAAATTATTGAACACATTATAGTGTAGGCTATCTATCTATCTTTTGTCATTAGCCTGTTTACTAGGCATCAGCAGAACAGCGTCCATGTCGGCCGATACGATAAAGGTGACATTAAAACGAATCCAGTGGTTCTCAACTCTCAACATTCCTAATGCCGCGACCCTTTAATACAGTTCCTCATGTTGTGGTGACCCCCCCCCCTTCCAAAACCATACAATTATTTTCGTTGGTACTTCATAAATATGTTTGTTTTTTTCGATGGTTTTAGGCGACCCTTGAGTAAGGATCGTTCGACGCCAAAAGGGGTCGCGACCCACAGATTGAGAACCGCTGCACTAATCTGATCCTGTGGTCGGTAAATTCGTTTGTGGGCTCTCTGTATTATCATAATGTTAAGACAAAATCTTGTCCGGAAGATATGGCATCTAGGGATTCTTCACCTGTAACGACCTGGAATTAGCCTAAACTGGGATCTTTCAAACTTAATGGGCGTCATGATCAGATAAACGGTGGCGTACCTATGATGTTGCGAAGGGTGCTACCACCCACACTTTTTTCCCCCTTCTTTTCTTCTTACACCAATCCTTTAAATATAACTTTAAAAAACGAAATACGGTCCATTCGATCAAATCGTTTTGGCTCCTTGAGATGTAACGTGAAGACTTGTGGCTCCTTAAGATATAACGTGAAGACTTTTGGCGACTTAAGATTTAACGTAAAGACTTTTTTTGGAACTTTGTTCACGTAATAAATTTTTTTTAAAAAGCAAACAAACAAAAAACAACATTACAGACATCTCCTGTGAGGCCACTTCTGCATTCTCCCACAATGATTTGACCTCGTCAAACTCTTTCAGTTGTCAGCTTCTGTATTGGTTCAAAAAAACGCTTGAATGGACAAATTGGAAACTGTCACATTGCCTTGTTTTCAGACAGGCGCCAACTTCCAAGGCGCGACGACACACCAGCAGGACGACACACCAGCGCATGTTCTTAGTGTTATTATTAACATGTCACTGCTATAATAGATATATCGGTGTATCTGGATAGGCCTGTATATTTAACATTGTTTTATCATTATTATTTGTGAGAAGGTGGCCCGCAAACCCCCCCCCCCCCACCCAACCCCAAAGCCCCGCCTGTCAAATTTTTCACTAGTGTCACGTAGAAGTAGCGGATACATCTATGAAGTCTTTACATTTTGTCATTTGAGTCTATGTCTAAGGATACCTCAACTTCATGTTAATTGACTGTTTTTAAGCCCTTTGGGGCCGTCCATTAAGTAGTCAAGCTTTTAAAGAAAAATAAAATGTTTACCCCCCCCCCCTGTCACAATGTAAAAAAATCTCAGCCCCCCCCCCTTTTTATTCTTCTTTTTTTTTTAAATTAAAAAGGTCGTAACACTTTTGAACAAATTTAACAAAATTATCAATTAATATCAATTTAATCTAATTGATATACGCTATACACTAGGAAGTGGCATCGTCTGTCAGAATACATCCATCTCAACAGGAAGTTAAACATCACTGTCCGGTTAAGAATTTTATGTGCATTATTTTTTTTTAAATTTGTGACGCCGTCACCCCTGTTAAAAACCGTCACATTTTCTTTGAACCCCCCCCCCTCCCCCTTCATAAACCTGACGTAATGTATTGTAGCTAATGTTAGCTTGTACTTTAATTTTATTGTATTTAAAAAGCCATGCGATATTTCCTTTTGTCAAATCAGCCATTGCACCCCTACATCATCTCAATCACTATTTTTAAAACTAGCGCACAATCTTGCAAACATTCGTAATATCTGTGCTCACCCACAGCAATATAATTTAACAAAACAGTTGATACAAAGAATATATTTTTTTTCTTTTAAATGATTTTGTTTTTTGCACTTCTTGCTGCACAAACGCACTATAGAATTTTCTCCAAAGCGGCCATCGACAGAAAATACAATAGCCATACTAAGCGAGCGTTATGCTCTAAGAATTTATTGTGCAAGCTGATTCCTCTTGGCAGTAAGATCTGGATCATTGCTAGAAACGTGGTGGCAAGCATCTCACCAGTGCAGCGTGTTATTGGGATAAATGTCACAAATGTGTTCTGCCACCATCCAATTTCCAAACATATCACAACACTACTACGATGAGTTGGGCAATAGTCTTTTAGCGTCCAATTAACTTATTTACTGGGGGAAAAAAAATGACTACTGGCTTCTTTGATTTCCTTGACGATAATTTCCTTGACGATAATTTCCTTGACGATAATTTCCTTGACGATAATTTCCATAACCAGGGTTTAAAGCACCCGTAGCGGGATACGATTTTTACCGCCCTCTTCCACGAAAAAAAAAATGCCACCCCACTATATAAAGAAAAAAGGCCCTCATGGGCAGAACCGCCCCCTCCTCACCTCCCCTTCTACGCCAGTGTTTAGAACTTGAGCATCTTCCAAATCACTCTATCACTGTGATGTTTGTTTTCCATTTGGTGTTCATGTTAGCCATGTAAGGGACTTCTTAGTTCCCATGAAGATTTGTGACTTCGGGGGGGGGGGGGGGAGCACGCTGGTAAATTCGTAAAGATTGGGGAACAAAGGCATTTTTGTCTTTCAGTCCTCGCCATGGCGGAAAGAATTCGTCCCGAACGGCCCGATCCTAAGTATCTGTGATGAAGAGGGTGGGATGTAGCATCCAAAATGTGCTTAGTTTTACAATAACATCTTTCTTCATATAGTTCTTCAAGTGAAGGATGTTAAGTAAGTGTTTTGTTCCTAGCTAACTTGATTAGTCGGTTTATGCGGTGTTTAATATCAGACGATGAATTTCCACACCAGCAGGTAATACTGAAATAGAGTAGGCTTCCAATTGTTGCACTGTAGAATAAGTTAATGACTTGTTGGTTTACGCCGAAATTGCACAGTTTTTTTTTTAGGTAGAATAGTCTTAGGGTGAATTTCTTACACATAGTTTGCCCGTGCGCATGCCATGTTAGCTTATTATAATTAATGGTGACACCTAAGTACTTGTATGCCTCGACTTTCTCTACACTTTGATTTTTTTATGTTGAGATCTGTCATCTGGTGTTCCCCTTCCTGAAATCAACAACCATTTCCTTTGTTTTGGAGACATTCAGATGGAGAAAATTTTCATCGCACCAATTGATAAAACTTGTAACTAAGTTGCGATATAAGTCTTCTCCTTCAGATAATAAAAGCCAACGATCATCAGCAAATTTTAAGATTGGAATGGTGTCGCTTGAGCTTTGAATATCATTGGTATATTTGTAAACAGTGCAGGGGGGGGGGAGAACGCAGCCTTGTGGCGCCCCGGTGCTTATGTCTCTGGTTAGCGCGATAATTGGTTATTTACCTCGACATATTGTGGTCAATTTGTTAAAAAGTTCAGTATCCAAGCTTGAATATTTAAATTGACACCTAACGAGGAAAGTTTCTTTATCATAAACGGTTAGTGCGGCATTGCGCCTATGCTCATTTATGATAGATTTGAAAAATACTAAACACAGATAGATAGTTTAAAAAAGTAAGTACATGATTTATTACCGGCCCATAGTCATAGATAGATAAGCATAGGCCCTTGGCCTTGCTGTTATACTTATAGTAGGCATGGCATAGAGAACGAAATTAATTCTTTTGTGAAGAATTTATTTTGCTTCATCGCCTATTTAACAAACTTAAACGTGGATGAATTAGTTAAACGACTGACAATCTGTATATTTTCACACTGCAATGCCGATCGATCAATGTACCAAAATACGTTGTCTTTTTATGACTCCTATTCATCTGTCCGAATCAGTCAATAATTTATAATACGTGTCACTGTGAATCTGTGAATGTATCGTCATCAATAGTAAACGGCTAAGCCAACCAACGAACTCCACGGACTTTTGTGTTAGACAGCGAACCAATCAAAAGCGCTGTTAGATTCATGTTCCGTACGTTTCTTTTTGTCCTACTTCGTATGCACCGGTAATATCCGATTGTTTTAACTGGACTCGGGAGAAGCGTCGCCACGTCGTTAGTAGATCTAAAGAAGAATAAAAGCTATTCTAAAACTTCATTTGAGAGTGATTTTCTGATAGTTAAGACAGTGTTTTACTCAGATTCTACACCATGGTCAGTTTTCTACATTTAGTTTCTTTGCTTGTGTTCGCCTTGTCGGCGGTAAGCTTAGCAGACGAAGCTGCACAAGATGCTGGTGCTAACGAAATTACAGTTGAAGTTATCGCTCCTCCTCCTGAAGATTGTGAGAAAAAGAGTAAACGATATGACTTGTTATCCATGCATTACGTAGGCACTTTAACAGATTCCGGTAAACAATTCGATTCAAGGTATGTCTTGGATAATATAAATACATTTTAAATAAATATGAAGTCAAAGACAAGCCTAACTTAACACTTAACTAACTAAACTAGATCTAAAACTAAATATTAAACTAATACTAATACATTTATTATTATATACACTATAGGCATAGGTAGGTACTATTTACTATTAGACTATACTACACAACTATACAAACAGTGTACAGTGCACATTCTTAAATCTCATATCTTATTCTTATATTATATACTACTACTAATACTACTATTACTTTCACATTTTGTGATATCTGTACTACTGTACTCTTAGCTTATTGGTAGTCTATAATTACTAGGATCAGGGCCTAAGCCTTATATTTATGTCACTTAGTCTTGTCTTGTTTTGCCTGTGCATGTGGTGTATAATTTGAATTTGTAAATATACTAAAGATATAATGAATTGAATTAAATTATATATCTATAAATTTACTTTCTCCTTGCGATGGCGTTTCCTGTGGATGGCATCTTGCAGTCATGACCCGTATCAGGGATGTTTGCAACCAAGGTGGCGCCATGTAAAAATTCTCAATCTGATCAAATGGGGAGGGCAAATGAAGAGAATGTTAAAATTTAATTTTAAAAATTTCCTCCTGTACCGACCTATAAATTTCATGGTCGCTGTAGCTACTTTATTGTATCCATTTAGATATGTGACCTGCTGTGCCGGTGGCCCCCTTCCTGACATAATTTCAGTGGGTACATGTTCCATATACAATACAATAATTAAACCCATTTTCCAAAATGCCGGAAAATTTAAATATTATAATTAATCAACCAATGAAATTTTAATTTAAAACATTACATCGTAGTTTTAAGGGGGAAAAGTTAACCCTAGTAACAACAAGAAGATCAACAAAAGAGATAGAATCCTATACCGACATACGGAGAACGTTAATTACCCCATTTATCATCTAAACCAGGCCTGCACAACATACAGCACGGGGGCTGCATGCCGCCGACTTTGCGGCCCGCAAGTAACAAAATATTCTTTATTTTTATTATTTTCTTAATAGCTTTCCTATTATCTTTCAGTCCGCACAAGTTTTTCATAATGTATTACGGCCCACCTTACATTTTGCGTTGTGCAGACCTGTTCTAGACTACTCTCTATATTGTAGGCCAAGGTATTATCACTAAAACTAAATAGGCATTAACACTTAAAGTAAAAGACTTTAATCTGCCATTGAGTATTATTGACACTGTGATTGTCAGTATTTGTATTACTATTAGTATTAGTGAGGCTTACATTATATGGATAACTCTTTTGTAAAAAAAAAAGGCATAAATGTCAACCTGTAGACTGTAGGTTTTACAGGTACTTTGTACAGTTTTTAAATGTTTGCCAAGGCATATGACCTCACAGGCTTTTTTAGAGTTTTAAACTAGATTAAGAAAAGAAAAATAGTTTTGCACAAGATACGTTAAAAACTGGTTGGGCAAAAAATTGAACATTTGACAAGAAGAATCTTAAATCATATTTGTCAGCACAAAATGACCAAGTTGAGGATAAGTAGGCAATCTAAATTTAGAAACAGTGCCATTTCATTGTTACCGGTATCATTCTTTAATACTAAGACAATGTCATTTGGGAGTAACCACTTTGAGTAGTAAACCATAATTACAAGTCTGTGTGTGTAATCCTCAACGAAAACAGCAGTATTCATAAGTTTTCTATTAATTTACATTAAATAATTAAATAAATTAATATTAATATTGCTATCAATCAATGACTAGAAATAGTTATTATTCCTATTTTTTTACAGCGGCATTACTTAATCCACCTGTTAGTATTAAAAATTAGGTTATAATATAAATTAAAGGTAAACTCAACAAATTTGTCAAGAGGGACAAACTTTATTACACTGCGTTAATTTAAATATGGGAATCTGTATTACTAAAGCTAGCATAATTAAAGAAGAATTATTTAATTACATCTTAATTGCTATCAATTCATTATGTATCCATTTTAATAAAGTTGCTATTGACCAGTGTCAAAACCCTCAAAATTAAAAAAAAAATCTGACATAATAAATGTTACAAGCTATTTTAATTTAAAAGATGTGATATATCCACTTATAAATTATTTTAAGTAAACATGCTTTTAAATGTTTTGGCACAAAGAGGAGATTATTCTTAATTTTTTGATAAAAAAAAATTTTGAATAGTATTTTAAAAAAAAATTTCTTTGACTTTTTATTTTATTCTGCTCAGTTTTTCATGCTGTTGGACAGTTTTTCATGCTGTTGGACAGTTTTTCATGCTGTTGGACAGTTTTTGGGGGATTTTTTAAAACAGTATTTTGATCCCACAGGTTGGCATGTATGAAAAGTTGCTCTCCACATTAGCATTAGGAGACACCAAACTTGATAATCTGCAAATCACTGAATAAATGCTAACTGAATAGGGCTTGTCATTTAATGGCGGAAATCTATTAATAGAACTGATGTCATTATTACTCATCATCCGGGTACTCAGCGCGGACAAAATGTCAACACTGTTCAGTATTACTATGTTAGCGAAGTGTCCTTGAAATTTGTTTACAACTACAACTCTATTTTACTAAATATTTTACATATTTTTTTTTACTTCTATTTTCTGAAATGCGACTTCATTGCTTGAACGGCAAATGTAACAGTAACTGGAGATACAAGGATCGTCCGAACGATATGCTGAAACACACTATAAGCTGCCATTTTTTAAGCAATATTTGTCCGCTGACCTTCTAAAGATAGTACCCTATGACGTTTCCAGTCTAAGAAATGACAAAGCCTATGTTCACTGTACTCTGTAGTCCAAATTTACCATCTGAAATATTCATTTTCAAATCAAAATTTCACTGGAAAATAATAGGATCATATATATCCATAATGCCTATAATTAAAAATTCAAAGGCCTTGTAGATACCATAAACATAACATTTTGGTCAGGACATAAAACTTTATTAATGATTAGTAACCAAGTAAGCTTTGCATGTCAATATTCTGACTATTATGGACTACAGTTCAATCAACTGTGAGTGTACTGAGGCACAGTAGCTTACTTAAAAGTTCACAAATACTGAACATATCAGCAAAAAAAGCTTGCCTGCTAGGAAGCTTGGGCAAGGGTATTATTTTCTTGTGTAATGAAAAGTCCAAATTTTTTTTTTTTGGAGGCTTCCAAAAATATTCTTTTTCATTTGTTTTGAAAGGAAAGTTAGTAGAATATCTCAATGAAGTACAAAGCTCCCTGTTTGATTCCATAAGGGTGTGCTAACTCATAACATGATAACAGCAATCATGGGAGCCCGCAGATGGGGGCAAGGGGGGGCACTTGCCCCACCCCCCCCCCCCCCCTGGATTGATTGGATAATAAAACTTTAAAATTTTAGACAAAAATAGACAAAAAATGTATTAAAGTAAAGAGAAAATAAAGAGAAAGTAACTAAGCTGATGTCCTGTCCGTTCGTTCACCATACAAATACGCTACTGTAAATTATACTACATTAAAACATTACTAAAAATTTTGTTGCCCCTCCCCCCTAGAAAGTTAATCGATTTTTTTGCGCCCCCCCCCCCTAGAAAGTTTTCTGCGGGCGCCCATGACAGCAATGTACATTATTTTCATTTCTGAGGATATTGAACATAATCCTTAATCTTTCCTAAATAAAATGCATCATCTTTCAAAACTACTTATTATGGTTGGCCCATTATGTCTAGTGCTCGACTTACGACCTATGCAACTTACGACCATTCGACTTTACAACCACAATCACTAGCCATTCTGTATTAGATTTCAGATTTATTTCTTCCTCAATTATCATTCAAACATTATGATATATAACAATAATAAAAGAAAATTATGATATAATTGAATTTGAATATTTTTATAACATCACACACACACAGTTTTAGAGCAGTGGCTCTTGTGGCAATATGCAATGTATTAGGTTAATCAGGAGCAAAGATAAGAATCTTAGATCCCTTGCCATAAAGATAAAATTTAATTGTGAAATAGGATTAGTTAATTGGTTCAACTTACATTGACAGCTGATTTTTAATACATACCGTTGTAAAAATTGGAGCTTTCTCCTAGTGGTCTTTATCTTACAAGATAATTGACCTTGACCAAACTGATAGGTGAAACTCTTTTTTTCTTAAGATAAACCTAGATAGAAAAAGTGTTCATATCAAACTCTGGTAGTTATTTGTTCCCCGTCATTATTGAAATATAAACATAATATACAAAATTAATTTTAGAAATAAACTAATCAGTACATATTCTATTCCACTAATAGCCGTGACAGAGACCAACCATTTGAATTTCAACTGGGCACCGGACAAGTTATCAAAGGCTGGGATGAAGGTCTCCTAAACATGTGTGTTGGTGAAAAAAGAAAACTGACCATTCCATCCAGCAAAGGTTATGGCGAGCAAGGTGCCGGTAAGTATCCTTCCTTGTTAACATGTCATATGTATGTAAATCTTAAGTAAAACCCTAATGTAAGTCAAGTGACGAAATGATTTTTACTCAGTTACATTTTTAACCATGCTGAGAAACTATCCACATGGGACATTGATTGTGTCATCTAAACATGTCGGTCTGTCTGCCATTAGTGGCATTTTGGTCTTGTACAACTTTAAATCCCATTTAAAAGGAGAAATTTATTTTTAATTACTTTCCCTGGATTTATATTATGCTCTTAAATGAACACTTGTTTGTGTAATTGAAAATTTATCCATTAGAATATTGGGACATAAATGTATTTAATGCAATTAATTTCAAAATCTGTAGATTTGTAGTATTGGCAAAGGAAATATTTTCAAAATATATTCAGATAATTTCTAACTTTTTTTTGTTTAGGTGAATTGATTCCTCCAAATGCTGGTCTGACATTTGAAGTTGAGTTGGTTGGTCTTAAAGACGGCACTCCACCACCAAATGTTTTTAAAGAGATTGATGCTGATGGTGATAAATATCTTTCCCAAGATGAGGTTTGTTTCTGTTGTAGTGTATATGAAAAGACCATAGAATACACTTGCCTAAAACATTTTTGATTTAAAAACAAAAACAACACAGTATAGTTTTAAGTTGTAATGCAGCAATAGGTTATTTGTTATTAGCCAGATAGAGACTTTTTTGAAATCTAATACCAGTATATGTTTTAAGTAGCACTGTATTGGGCTTATATAATATTTCATGGGACCATTTTCAAAATATCAGTCTTGAGATGCATAACTTGAAGAGAGCAACAAATTTCCAATCTCATTGAATCAATTATTAAAGTGAACATATTAAGGATACAATTGCTTTTAAGCACCAGACCTTTTTACCTGACGTGTTTACTCTCACGATTTTGGCATACAATGTATGATTTTGAGGTTTATTTTACGATTATACACCAAGACCTGTCACAACTGCGATTTTTATGAAACTGGTTCAAAATATAATATACATTCAGGTAGTTTTTCCAATTAAAAAATAATAATTAAAAAGTACATTTTTGTTGCCAGTTTTAACCTTCTTTCTACATCCAGCAGTGAATAGATCAAGAAATATGATTGGGTGGGGACTTATTACATTTGCCCCGAGGGGGGAAGGTGGTGGTGTTGATTCAGGAGATTTTGTGTACTGGTGTGTGTGGGCGGGGTGTCTAAATATTTAAGTCTTTAGCATAAACACAGCCACATTTGTTTTAATGATAATGTGGTGATGGATTGTATTGTCATTTTGTTTGTTTTCATAATTAACTCGCAAGACACAGTAATATTGGTGTAGTCACCAAGGTCCTTTCGGTACTTTATGATGTAATTTAGGGACATAATTATTTTGTTCGGTTTGCACGTTCACCCATTAATAACTATAGCAAATACACGTCTGCAAAAAAAATAAAACGATAGCAGATTACAATATAATCGTCTGTCATCTACTTTTAGCAGTTAAACTTTTTTGATGCCAGCTTAACTTGATCCCACTAGACACTGCAATGCGAGTAGTTATTCTATACATTATATATACTGTATAATTATATATTTACAATTAAGATACTGTATTGTACAACTGTGAGATGATTTTGTACGATTTTAGGAGTTTGAGGGTAAGCAGGTCTGTAGCATGCTTAATTTCATTGTATCTTCTTACCAGGTTAGCTCTTCATTTTCACATTGTAATAAATGAATATCTTGTTTCTTAAGTTGAATTGTCCTCTAATGTACACCCCCAGGTGTCAGACTATTTGAAGAAACAAGTATCCAAGTCAGGTGACAAGACACAAGATCATTCTGATCAACACAAAGAAATTATAATCCAGATTTTTAACCATGAGGATAAAGATAAAGACGGACTTATCTCCCATGAAGAATTTAGCGGACCAAAACACGATGAGCTCTGAGTGTGGATCTCTTAGTACACTGTTGATTTGTCTTGCCGTTAAATATTGCTGTTCAAAATATTTGGTCTTAATCTGATGATGGCACCAAAAGTTTTTCTATAGTGTGAAATTGTGTTACACTGTACACATTTTTTGGTCATGTTATTTGTGTTTAATTTTTGTATTTTAATATTTGGTTTAGGGTGTGCTGTGGTTTTATTGTACTAGTATGTTTTCCATCAATGTTAATTGTGTTCCTCAAAGAAATGCTCATTTTTCTTGGAAGTTTCAGATTTTTTAGTGCTCAATTTTCATAGTTAAATATTCTTTACTTATATACACTTATTTGAAAAGCGAACATCAAACAGATTAAATATAAAAAAATAATTGCTCTGCTTGCTTTCTTATTGTTTCAGTCATCAGCCCCCCGTTTTCCCTGGTATGTTTTCGGTCAATTATTCAATAAATGATAAATGACCATTAAAAAGTTTCTCTCAAATTTTTTTTACAATTGGCTGTTATGAATGGTTGCTTTGATTATTAATTAAAGCCACTAACATTACAGCCACTAACACAGCTGAAATAACAGACATTAAGAAACAAAGCTCAGTTCTCAGCATTATTATTTTTAGGAGCATTTCATTTGCTATGCAAGTGATAAGTGTAACATTTTGCTTGCCATGCAAGCAAATCAGTAGCCTTTAAATATGCATATTTTTTAAAAGATAAATTATCATAATTGCAAACACTGCTGTGTAACAACTTTCAGAAAACAGGTGTATTTTGTTAGTTTAAAGAAAATTGTTTAGAATTTGATATATGTTGACCACAAACTTGACTCCAAAGTTATATGAGATTATATTGCTATAATGTCTAATAAATTGTGCCTTTTATGCCTCCGCACCTAATAAGAATTTGCAATATTATTCTTTAAGACAGGATATTTTTGTTTCTCTTTGTAAATTATATAATCAAAATTTTGCTTACATATTGTTTTTGGTTTTTTTACCAGTCATTAAGTAAATGAGAATCTGACAGGTATAAACTTGTGCATAGTTATTAACCGCATTAACTTGTATTATTCATTTTGGGAGTGAACTCATTTTCAGTATAAGTAAGTATAAAGATAAACAGTGATTATTGTGAAGCCACTCTTGTAATAAATGAACAGGTTTTCATTTCAAAGTCCTCAACTGGTCAAACTTTACTGCTACTTTAATTTAATCTGGAAAATATAAAATTATTGTTAACCATTTATCATTCTTTTAAAAGTTTCTGTAATTCCTTCAAACATGGCATTTCCAACAATTTTACTAAAAGAATAATGACCTCGTTGTGTTTTTTACCAGCATTTTAAGTTTTAGATTTCTGTTTACATGAGGCAAAATACCTTTGAATGTTCTAAAATTAAGCTTTTCTCTTCTGGCTAGGTTCAACATTGAATTTTTATCTTATACATCATGGACAGTATTCTATAATGGCTTAAAAATGTTTATGGCTGCTGCACTTTACAAATAAAAAACATTGTGTTATTATATGAGAAAGCATACAACCTTATTCATTAAAATGCTCTATTTTTATTGTTGATATTGTTTTAGAATATAATTGAAGCACTTATATTTAACTTCTTCCATTGGTGAATAGTGTTGCATTTAGTATATATTTATTGGTAACATAATTTATTATTTAAAGAAATTCTGTAAACGATTTTTTTTTTGTGTAAATGATTCTTAAACAATGTATAAGTATAAATAAAGCAGTGGTGCTTTATTTATCATGCCTTTGTACTGTTAAATTACCAGCAAGTTGTCCTAGGTTAATTGCTTGTGCCCATTTTAAGTACTTTAAATTGTGTGCAACAAGAATCTCAATAATTAAATGATAGAAAAATTTCATAAATACATATTATAGACAAACAAATCGCAACTGGTATTTATTTATTGTCCTATGTACCATATACTTTTGTGTGTTAAGTGATTTTAATGTTAATAACATTATATCTGTTTTTAAGTGTTGATGTAGGTGAAACATTCCATTGTATCAGGGTAAACACCTCATTTTCATCAACATACAGAAACATTAGAAATGGACTGAAATAAAACAAATTTGCTGCTGGAGGTATTGTGTCTATGTAGGTACCATACATCTGCATGCACATACTTTTATATCCCATAAAGTACTATGTTAAACAATAATTTTTAAAATATATAATTTGAAATGAAGAATTAAAATACATATAAAATAAAGTAAATTTTTAGTTTTACTTTTTTTTTTTTTTATGTTCATAATTGGAAAAAATTAGGATTTTGTAGCTTAAAACTGCTGAAAAGTGTAATGATAATTAAAATACTGAGTTTTGATAAGATACTATTACATACATTTACTTTGGACACTATTATTTCATAAGACACTTTGGAGACTATTACATTACAATATTAAAGTCTCAATTAAAACATCAAAGAAACAACTGAAATTGCACAAATGAAATGATCACCAAAGGGAGCAAATAAAAAGCCTTATAAGTTTCCCCAACCAAAATGACCTTTGTTTTATATGATTGGTACTGGTATAGTTAATAAGATAAACTTTATTTCCTATTCTATTTCTACTCCTTATTATTAATGAAATGATTATTGTAATTCCAGCTGAGAATCGCTAACTTAAAACTACTCTATAAATTTTATAAGGCCTGATTAATATAGAACTTACCATTGCACTAGATGATTAGGAACATCAAGATATAGTTGGTAATCTTGGAGAAAAAGTACAAATTCAAGGATTTATTGGCTCATATTATTTCTTTGCCACCCTAACTGACTAAGTTTAACTAAGAGCTCAAGACAATGACAATTACATTTCAGAAACACATGTAGTTGTAGAATCAATGTATTTCAAAATTTAATAAATTTCTAAGCATGATTGATATAATAGTAATGTGTAAACCCCTTTAATTGAATGATAACAAGCATAACTGCGTGAACTCCTACAATACAATGTTTGTAATAAATGTTACTTTCAATGATTGATGAAACACAAACAATTTGTTTAAATGAAACAATATAGGTTAAGCTATAATTATGGTTGCACAGAATTCAGAGGCAAACGTTTTGGCAAATGCCTTCATCAGTACAACAAAAAACTAAAAAAAACCATTCATGTAAGTTATAAGAATAAATTAAATTTCAATAATAAAAATACATGTAAGTATCCAACCTAAAAATGAAAGAAAAGAATGGGCACAAGTCCCTGAAAAAACACAGCTCAGAAGAACAGAAAGGAAGTCTTAGAATTACTTTCTAATCTATGCTAGTTTCATGTTCTATGTTTTGTTTCCACATAATCAAGACCTTAATAGTTATTTCAATAGTTTTTGTCTCCAGGCACTTGAGATGGAATGGTCATTTTAATACTTTGATAATAAATCAAATAAGGGAATTAGTTTTATATCAATCTCATGAATTATAATACCGGTACAAACTAGGTTTAAGTTTCTTGCAAAATAATGTCAAATAAGTTTCCCAACAGATTTATCATTTATATAAAAGTTTAAAAATGAAGAAAACAAATAATGCAAATTTACCCACTTGAAAGCATATACTAGTACTTGAACAACAACATATCCTTCCAATAAATAATAAAAGATTTTGTAAAAAAAAAATAAATGCAGTTTTTCAACACCACAATTGTCAGTCATACTGTTACCACAATCAAATCTCTTTCTCAGAACTCTCCAGGCTCATCTTCATACATTCAATTCATCCATCATGTTCTCATCTAATGTTCACATCTTCCTCAGCATTTCATTTTTCTCTTTTTTTAAAGCTAATCTGTCCTCTTCCTGTTCCATCTCCAGTTTATGTTTCAGGTGTTCTTTAATGGTGCCACTTGCATTTTCTTTAAAAAGTGGATGTTGAACTATCTTATGGAATAAGGTGATATCCTCCAGTCTAGAAATTAAATTAAAATATTTGTCAGAATTCATAAAATGTTAAAACTGATCTTTCATTCATCAAGGTCATGAAAAGATAGTACTAAACATTTCAAGTAAAAATTTAGATAACGGAGATGTGTCACCTGAATGAATGCTACAACATAGCCACACATGATATATTGCAAGTTCTGTCTTAAGTTCTCTAAGAACTTCGGATAATGAACAAGGAATTTTCATATTTTTAAATTTATATCTGTAGTTAATCAAAATGAACTTAAACTCACAGTTGCTTTTTCCTTTTCTTCTCCTGAGGAATAGGTCTGGGTTTTTCTTGATTTTCTCTATGAAGAAAAATAAAAAACCTTATTTTTTATTTCAATATTTAGGTTGCACTGTTTTGGCTGCGGATGACAGCTTTAAATAATTCAACCATGTTTAAAATGGCAATAAACATTCCACAAGTTGATTTTTAACTACTTAAGTTCATGGAATTAATCATAAACAATAAAAACATAAATGGACTGCGTACAATAGCGATATTAAATGATGACTAAAAAAATTTAGTTCTATTTAGTCATACTTTTCATTTACTATACAATTACCTTTTTGTAGTTTCTCCAGTAGACTTTTTCATCAACAACTCCAGTGTAGGCAGGGCATCCTCTATTGGTGTAAGATCACCAACGATTGGTGTCTTCTGTTTTCTCTTACGTTCTTTTTCTTTCTTTTTCACAGTTTGTAACTTGTCCACCTCTACAAAGCGTAAGAAATGATTAGACCAACCAAGTTGAACATATACTTTTATCATAATAAAAAGCTAAGCTTACTATTCTACTTCTGCTGTAGAAGATCCCCATCAATTTTAATTTGCTTAATACACAAGTTGCCAGACGTCCTGTGACCACATCACATATAAAAGTTTTTAATGGGGTAAAAGAAAATGGACCCAAAATAGGTTTTTCAATGTAATAACTTTTACTTTTGACAAATTTAAAGCACTACCACATTAAATATTGTCACTCAAATGCAAGCTTCAACATTTGTAGTTGAGTTTTCATAACCCTAAACTCATGTCACTCTCAACATATTAAATTAATTATTTTTTTTGCCTTCTGGTTTTCAAATCAAGAAGCATGAAAATCCACTCTCACTGAGATGGGTAGAAGCTAAAGGAAGTATTACAATATATTTTCTATACTTGAAGACATGGTTGAAAATAATAATTGCTTTAAGATTTTGTATTTATTCTTTTAGTTTCTTGTTAAGCCAGAAACCCCACCGAAAACCCCTCTAGTTCTAGGGTTGTGATCCCATGCTTTAAACCTTAAAAACTAAAATAAAAAGAAACTATGATTAGATTTCTACTCTTTAAAACTACATATTGATTTTGGAAATTTTTGTACATACTTGACATCCATACTTCATGTCGAATTTTCTGCTTGTCCTTCTTTTTCAAGTTATGTCCTTTAAATGTTTTGCTAGTTACTGCACTGCTAGCATCAAAATCTGGCAACTTCTGTGCTAGTAGAGCCAAAGCTGGAATATTAACATTCTGAAAAAAATTCTCCCCAATGGATGGTGCAGGTGGAGGCTTTTGAAAAAAAAAAAGTAGGAACAAAATGTTAAAATTTATCAAAAAATCTTCTTCCAGTAACATTGATAATGTTCAAAACATTTTTCCCAATAAATATGCTAGTATCTGCATTTTCTAGATTCCTTTGATGAAGCTTAGCTAACCACACCAAAATGAAGAATATTGAAATGCAACATTTCTATTAAAGTAATATGTAAGAATATGCAACCTTATATTGATAGCAAAAGATGTAACAATCATTGTGTTTCATTCCAATATAAAATACTTAATAAAAGAAAGTGAAAATATTATTTTTTTAAAAACAATACAAGCTACGAAGTCAAAGTTGGCAATGGAATTTACAGGCATTAAACTTGTGTCTTCCATCATTTCTTCATCATCTTTAATGGTTGTGCTTTTGTCCTTTTTTGATTTGACAGCAGCTGTGTGCAATTTTTGCCGCATCCTCTTCATTTTCCCCATTATGGTGATGTATATTCTCTGGGAATAATAACAGTATTAAAATTTTGAGTTAAATCTGAGATAGAAAAATTAATTGTATATTAAGAAAATATATCTTTCAATATGATCAAACTTCATAAAATAAAATTTAATGATGTGTCTCAGTTATTGTTAATCAACATAACATGCCTAAGCTTATAGGATTCAACTTGACACACAATAGCGATTATCTTACTCATTATAGTTATAGTATAGCATAGCACAAATGCTTTCCAAAGTGTGTGTTGAGCTACAGCAGTGTGTCTCTGCAGGGTGTAGGTGTGTCTTACAAAAATAAGCCATACCAACATTTCAAAATTTTTTAAATTAACGGAGCAGATCAGTATGACACACATTTTTACATGGCTCCTGCAAGGTTTTTCTTTATAAAGACACACAGTCACAGTTGCCAGTTTAGACATTTAATGGCAAAATTAAATCTATTTGACCAAGTGTTTGTTTTGCAGCGATATGAAAATACAAATGAGAATGACTGAAAGTAATTTATCATGAAAACAAGCAGAATACTTCAATGACTGAGCTTCCCCATAACCAGATTCTTAAAAATGATAACTGAAACTGGTTTGCAAAAATACAAATAATTTAGGCCTAATATATCTAGTCAGTTAGGCTTTACTGTTCTCTGTGTTTTAGCCTATCATTCAGTTCACTCACTCGTCTTATGAATATGACTCAACTAATGATAATCATACCATCCTTTATGTTGATACTATTACTATTTATTAGTATTTAGACTATTTATACAATTACTAGACTATACTGTAGGCACTTTGATTAAAATTTCAAAACATTTTTAAAAATATAAAAATACTGCAGCTGTATAGAGCCTGGAGAATAGATTACAAAAACACCAAGATCAACTTTCTAGCTCAAGTGGTTCAAAAGTTATGAATTTTTTAGTAGGGACCTCAAAGGCACTTTTTTACTATGGGATTTTCCTCCACATTTCGTGACCCTCATTTTGATTTTTTTTAAGGCCTATAACTTTATTATAAAATGACACAAAAATAAAATATTTACAGGGAACATATTTTAATTAGAGTACTTCTAAATAAAACCACAAAATATAAGTTAGTTTTTGTTAATATTCCGCAAAAAATTATTTTAAAAATCTTTATTATTTTTCTATTAAAAATATATAAATATGCTGACTCGTCACTTATTTGTAATTAATTAATTATGTATAAATATTTTTTTTCAATTTCCCAAAAATCATAATAATAATAAATCATTCTTAAGATATTAATTTCAAATTTTCTGTGGAAATGTTTAAAATTTATAAGTATATACTAATAATAAAGAGATTATTTGTTTCAATAAATTAAAATTGACTATTACACTTTTTATTTTACCATTTTCTATATAATGTATTTTAGTCCCATACCATATGAATGTGTGAATATGACAAAAATAGTAAGTCATGTAGTTTAAGTTAGTAAAGTTGTTTCACAGATCAACATTTATTGTTAGAATCAACTTTGGCTGTTGATAGAATTTTAAAGAAGCTCTAGTTATTTGCTTGAGGTAATTACAATGTTTTATTATTAAATTTTAGTAATATCTCATGTAATTCTTGGATTATTGTGGCAGAAAGTGTGTTTTTTCTTTGAGAATACTGAGGATTATAAAATAATTCTCTTTTGGAATAGTGTGATATGTGATTAAATATAGGATATTTCAATACCAAAGGTAAGTGAATATTTTTTGTACATTTTTAATTAATTTATGCCTTAAGAATCACCATATAAATCATTACATATGAATAACAGACCTGTTTACCCTCCAACCCCTAAAATCGTACAATCTGGTCTCAAAATCGTACAATACAATATCTCAATAGTAAATAAATAAAACTACAGTAGCGCAATAAAGTCTAATTATGTAACCCCACGTATAAATCATTACATATGAATAATGGGTCCTACAAATAATTGGGGGGGGGGAGATAGGCATACACTTATAATAGGAATACTATTCTAGGCCTCTATATATACATACATACATATATATTATATATAGTTAATAGTATACATATAACAGTATATAAAACTAATAGTTAACTATTAATTGTAATTAATTAGGCTTTTTTAACCTAATATCCCTCAATAAAAGCATCAAATCATATTAAAAATATGTTTTTGTTTTATTAATTATTTTATTTTTATTTTTAAATGACTTATTAGGAGGTAATAGGCTTGATTTCCAGAATAAATCAGGTTATTTACCATAGCAACAAATATTAACGATAATAGGTAATTTTGGGACACACGTGATTAAAATTTCCGAGTAAATTTCTGACCAAACTGATGGGCCTAAATTAGCATGTCTTGGATATGTTGTAGTTAATGCCATTATTTATAAAGTCCCTGAAATTCAAAGAAAGGATCCTTTCCACAAAAAAAATATGAATGAGTAAAAATTGCGTTATTTTACCTTCAATTTTCTAAGTAAAGCCCCAAAATTTTTTGGGGGACTCAAGTGTCTAATCATAACACAACATGTCTACTCTAAGTTGTGGGCGGAAATAGAATTAACATGCTGGGCAATATATAGTTAAAAAGTCGTAAACAATGTGACTCTCGGTAAATTAAAAAGTGGAGGTCGCCATTTTGACAACGAAATCACGATACCCGGTTTTCGGCACTTCCCGGATCTTACCAAACTACCTACTATACTGAAATCATACTTATCTTTATCTACTCACTGTGTGGATAATTTAAATGAGTATGATTTACTATGATTTGAAACATATATAATAAAATATATAGTTTTAGACAACTATCATCACAGACGCTTAGCGAGGATATCAAAATGTCGGTCAGCTCAACAATGGGATGTATGCTCACGCTGTCATTGTGCACTCGTGTGAATTTGTTGATCCATTAGACCAGGACATTCACACATAAACTATTGAAGGACTTTAGATGCAAGCAAAATGTAAACTCGGCTATCAGAGTGGTAGGCCTGCTAGTAGTGATCTGTTTGCCAGGTACTTGGAGGCCTTTCAGTGGCGCAACAGTCACAAGCAGAACGTTTTCGGCTGCTATTTGCAAATGAAATACTATGCGCCAATTACAACATTTAGTATTTACTGACTGGTTTGTAAATTGACAGTTATTTGCAAAAGCAATGACTGACATTTCTGCTGTTTTCTAACAATACACACTGTGCATTGAAGTGCATTGCCATTTTTTTCATACGAAATTTGGGACCGGACTTCGGAGGATTGCCTAGTTTTAGTATAGGGGATAGTATGACTATGAATAAACGCTAGGCGGCAAAACCATTGGAAAAAAAAAACCCTACAATTTTATGGTTAAGGCATACGTTAATTAATTTCTTCTTACTGTGTGACTTAATAGAAGACTGTTGAGTTAACTTAGTTGAGTCCGTGTGTACAACGCACTGAAGAAATTGTTTACAGAATGATGGATTACTTTGTGATTGTTTTGTCTGGATATAGCCAGATTTTTAAAAGGAATATTTCATAATTGTGAGACACTTTCATGGATAAATATTAACAAATTAATAAAAAAAATGACAAGTTCAATAAGTGCACTGTAAGTTTTATACAATAGTTTTATCCATCTGAATTATATCGAAGGAAAATTTTACATTTCTGAATTGTCAAAATACTATTATTCAAGCGAGTGTATGTAATAAAAATGCGTAACAACGTCGGATATTGCAGAATTAATTCTAGCACTACGGCCTACGGCAAGTGTTAGTAGTTTGAAAGAAATCTACTCAAAATAATTTTTTAAAAAAAATGATGCATAAATTATTCGGGAGCAAAAGGGATTAAATTTTAGGAGTAAGATTTAGAGCGTACGCTAATAAGTGATGTGGATTTATTATTTAACAAATAATCTGATTAATTCTCAGCACAAATTATGACTCTTTAACTTTAAAAATACATGTTCAAACTAAAATTTATCTATTTCTTATTATCTCTATATCTCTATTGTAGGTATAAATATCAAAGTAATATTTTTAAAAGCAGATAATGAAAGATGACATAGACATAGACTAATTGTGTGTGTGTGTGTTCAGACCAGCCTAAAGGCACCGAGTCGGCTTTTGCTCGATTATTCTTTCTTTCTAAAAGGGAAAAAACTTATGGTAACTGGAAGTAACTCTCGAATGCCACGTCGAGGCCATCTTGTTTTGTTGTTTGTGTTATTATAACAACGCTTGTTGGCAATATAGTTTCTAGACAGTTTTTGCAATGGGAGGATCTGCAAGCACAGAAATACCGGGTGGAGGCACTGAGGGCTACCATGTTTTGCGGGTAAATTTTGCAGTTTAGATCAATAGTGGATTTTGTTTAGTAAAGTTTGTGTTAATCAACAGTTAAAAACAGGCCGGAAAGTGTGGAAAGTCTGTTAGGTCACAATTAACTTTAAGAGTACCAAATAATGTTGTCTTTAAATTAAAAAAAAGGGTAATTTAGAATCACTGCACAGTTCAAGTTAAAGTCGCTGATATGAGATTGCCAAGTGTAGTGTAGTGTGAAGTAATGTGTGTGTTACTGTTTGATTTCTCTGTCCTCACTGGATGCATTGTAGATACTTTGATAACAAAATTAAAAATTAAAAAAAAAATAAACCAATGACATAGTTGAATAGAGTTAATTTTTAAAAGAATTATAATACCAAAATCATATTTTTAGCTGTTGTAGTTTTAAAGTTATGAATTTTTAAAGTACGACTTAATTTGTCCTTTTTTAACATGGACCGCATCTCCACATTCTGTGACCCAATTCCGCTGTTCGCGTCACGAGCTATATAACTCTTGTTTTAATGATAATTTTATTTTCAGAACTAATGCTGTATTAAAAAAATAAGTTTAATAATGTTAACAATTATAGATAAATTTTAGCTTAACTAACTATGCATTATTTCTATCAGTAAATTTAATATAATGTATTAATATATGGCTTTTCTGTTTACCAAATCTACGACGTTCATTATACCAATATTTGCTATATAGTCTATATAAGGCAACTCATGCCCTAATTACGAAAATACTGTTTGGGAACTATTGAACTTTCAACTTTGTTACATGACTAATTAATTAAAGCTTTCCCTGACCTAGTTGAATAGTTTTTGCACACGGCAAACTTTTATGAATGAAATCTCTGAGATAGTAGTAAATAATAGCCCTTATGCAAGTCACTGTGAATGGCTGCCATGACATTTTGCACACGGCGAATTTTGATCATGTATAATATGGACTCTACCGGGTTTTTTAACCTCAAATTAAAATATTATTCTTTCAATAACATTTAAATTCATTCTAAAACATAAGTTATCAAATATTTTGATGTAAATAGTGGAAATAATTAAATATTTCCTAAGTAACAGCGTCTTCCGTCACTGAAAGGGGGCGTGGCCACTTCCTTATCGAAATTGGGCTGAGCTACATTACCATATAGGGGTTCACTCAAGTGAGCATAACAAGTGATCGACATGTCCTAACTCAATGAGAATTGACACAAATACACATCGATAGATAATACAGAATAAGACTTTTTTTTAAAGACATAAAAGTTGAACTTCTATACGAATTTTATAGTGAAAGATGCCTTATATTTACAGGGGAATCTCAAAATACAGGTCGATTGAAAAATAAAAAAAAAGCAATGTAAATGTAGGCCAACATGTCTACCTAATTATAAGGCCGGAAACGGAACTCAAATATATATAGAAAGCACTCATTTAATAATAAATAGACACACACATCGGAAATTAAAAACTCGGAATTTTCGGCGCCGATTGCCATTTCCGATACACAAAAAGTAGTAGCCTCCCTTGCTTTACCGAAGTAGTATCTATGCATTGTTTTCGCGTTCCCAAGCCCAAGCTGTGATCTAAGGTGTGATAACTTGTCGATTATCTCTGTTTCAAGAATCAAACTGTTTTTCTGTACCATACCAAAATAAAGATAATGCAGTGTCTACACGTCCGGCGCACCAGAGGTATATCTCCCGCACTATTTGTCCAGCAACCAAGTCACATGACCGCCGTAAGAATACTTTATCTAGATATTCGTCCGGCGACCAAGTCACATGACCGCTGTAACAAAGTGGCGCGAGATGTTTGTCCGTCAGCCTTGTCACGTGACTGCGAATGATTCAAAACTATTGTTAATTTTAAAATTTATTTCTCTACCAAGTAATTTACTGAGTATCTTGCAAACAAATAATAGAAAAAAAAATGCTTGAGTATATTACCAAAACGAAGTGGCGGTTTAGTAATAATTAATTCTAGAAGAAACAATCCTGAGTGGGAGAGAGAATTAGGGTAATAAAAAAAAACGAATGAAATGAATGCTAAAAAAAAAATAGTGAGGGCGATCGTGATAAATAAAGAAGTTTAAGGTGGTAGCCTAGCCTACTTCTCATGCGATACTAAATACTAATCCTGAAATACAACTTTAATGACATATGTCTATTGAAGTCTACTGGTCTTATTTTATTTTGTTCATACTTTAAATTTAGGCTTCAAGGTAGAGCTTTACAAGATGTAGGCCTATTAATCAAGATAAGGGACTTTTTTCTTTGAAGAGTCGGAAATAAATAGACTAGTAATAGTAGTAGTAATACTACTACTAGATAGTATATGGGCAGACTAGTTTAATATTCAGTCAAAAACTTTATGTATCTCAGAGCGTTTGAATATAATGACATGTTCAGCATTTATTTATTATCTTGGGATTGTAATATCAAATGCAATGCAACTATTTTGCCGGTGACCACTTGTCACATGACCTGCCGGAATATTAACGCCTACTAGTCGTCCGGCGGTCACGTGACATGCCCGCCGGACGTATATCTCCCGCACTATTTTTCCGGCGTGCTGGACGTGTAGACACTTTGTAAAGATAAAGGTCTAATTAATTAAGTTAGCGGCATGGGTTTTGCCAAGAGTTGTCTCTTTGGGGAAAACCATCACTAGAGTGACTGGACTTAATGCAGGTGCGTAGACTAATAGTTGGACCTTAAAAATGTGTATTATAACTTTCCTGTTCTTCACTGATCAATCATTATTCGCATCATAAACTGTTATTATAAACTAAATCTAATGATCAATACAGTTAATATGAAATACATTAACCCATGAACTGTGGACGGCAAAAAAAATCATCCGATATTTTTGTTCTATACTGTGGTGGCCGAAAAAAAATCATCCGATATTTTTGTTCTATACTGTGGTGGCCGATAAAAAAACATGGTCTGATAGCAACTTCCAATCCAATATTTAACCGAAATTATAGTCACTTCCTTTTATTAATAATTAAATCATCTTCGGGATCAAGTTTTTTGCTGATAACTGAACAATAAGTACATTTTTATCACTGTTTTTTTTAAAGCTAAAATGGATGAAGCTATGGATGGGCCTTCCGTATGAGAACTAATAGAAATATTTTTGAAAGCTTTTTAGGATAGGATTTAAGTGATACTGATGATGATTTTAACATTCCCCATGACGATCTCAGTTTGGATTCTTTTTCTAGTGAATCTGATACTAGTCTTAGTGAGTCTTAGTGATACTGAAGTAGGCCTACTGTTAGACTTCGAGTACTCCAAGGTCAAAGATACTGAACACAATTTTTTTTTACAGGTGGGCAATATAGCCAACTTTATCCCCATCCATTTATCTTTCTAAAAATATCTACTTATTGGGGTCTTGTATCAATATTTCTATGTCATTTAATGCTATTTCTAAAGGCACTCCTCTGAAAAGCTCCCACACTACAGAATGATCTTTGCCACAGTTCATGGGTAAAATAAAAAACTCCATTTGGTTTTAATAAAAATCAACTTACCAAGTTCAAAAGAATTTTTATAAAGAAACTCATCCTTATTGATACCCCAAGATAAAAACTGAAAAAAACAAACTCAAACATGGGCATTGTTAAAAGTCACATCTTTTTTGATGGGTTGAAAAACAAAAATACCCATTCGCTATTCATTTCTATCACATTTATTGCAATTTCACAGGACATTTTAACATAATTTTATCATACCCCCACTTTTAAGATACAAATATAAATGTGAAAAAAACAACTTTTATTGAATTAATATAAAGTTGCAAATTGAACTCTTGAACTTAATAAAAAAAATCTTAGCCAAAATGAATGCAACACTTGAGAACTTGAACAAATTTTCCACCTATTGCTTACTAGAGATTGAGTTCCAGCCATTATTTGTCACTGACAGCAACATTTGTGTAAGCTGTAAGGTAACTATTCATACTGGTTTTACCTATACAGTACTTGGTTTTGGACATAAGTTCTAGCTACCTATACAGTACTTAGGTTTTGGACATAAGTTCAAGCTACCTATACAGTACTTGGGTTTTGGACATTAGTCCTAGTTACTCGTAAGTTGTAACCACTGCAAGTACAGTTAGAGACCACAAAATAAAATATGATTACTTTCACAAAAGACAGAGTACATCTGATATCCAGCAACACATAAATGAGACATACCATAATTAAAAATATTTAATTCATCAAAATTAGCATCACAACAATATTTTTTTCAAAAGAATGCCTCACAAACAGATGAGTTATTGGTGTTACCACATATAATTGTTTATGTAACATGTTCGTTAGGCCTATTTCAAATAAATTGATTAAATTCCCTTTAAAAATGTAAACTGGGCCTAAAGCCTAACTATAACATACCGGTAGGCATTTTTCTTTGTTTTAAAGTAAGCACAGAAGGGAGATAATTAGATTAGTATTTCAAATGGCAAACTACAATCACTTGGTAATTGCTGAGTTATGATGCTTTATATACTATTTGGCCCAAATTTTATTCACTGTCATTATTTGTTGTAAAAGGAATATCTTTACTTAGGACAATAGCATAGGTTTTTTAGAAGAAAGAAAAGTATTTATTTTACACAGATTAAAGGGATACAGCAAAAAAATACTAAAAAAAATTTTTGAGTGCACCGAAAAAAAAAGATTTTACTGCAAAATATTTTTATGTAATTTGATTGCTGAAATACCAGCGCATTAAAAAGATGGAGAGGAAAATTAATGTAATGTTGCAAATATGTAACAACCATACATGATAGCTTTTCTCAATTGTTAAACATTTAGAATGTAATTTAATTTACAACTTCATTTTCAGGTTCAAGATGGTTCACCTGGTCATATGGCTGGTCTTGAAGCTTTCTTTGATTTTATAGTTGCAATCGGAACAACACGCTTGGTGTGTACTTATTTTTATACCTATATTAATACCTTTATGGATAAAAAAACTAGTTTACAATAAGCATAATTTTAATATCTTTTTGAGAGCAAATATTGTATTTTTGTTTTGTTTGGTATCAACAAATATTTTATTTGTTTTGCTTCTAATGGACAGTAGTGACAGTTTTGTAGAATTCACTATCCTTTTAAAGTAACTGCATTAACTCTTTTTTTATTTAGTTGTTGAATTTCTTTACAGAATCAAGACAATGATACTCTAAAAGAACTGCTGAAGAATAATATAGAGAGACCTCTGAATGTCACAGTGTACAGTAGCAAAACTCAAAATGTTAGAGAAGTCAGCCTCGTGCCCTCACACAACTGGGGAGGGCAAGGTCTTCTGGGTGTGAGCATACGATTCTGCTCATTTGAAGGTGCCAATGAAAATGTGTGGCATATTCTGGTGAGTTTTATTAAAGGTGTTTTAGCAAAGGGCTAATTCCTAATGCCGGTTTCGGGTTTAAAGCTCTCAAACGTACACTGGTAACATGTATATTTTAGCTTCCTTGGGGTATGCTTAATGTTAACTTACCATGTGGATTATTCTTTAGCGTCGTATGTAAATCTTACAATTTTGTTTAAGCTGCACAACTTGACTTAATGTAGATGAAGCGGAATGTTTTATCTATTGCTCATCATCCACAGGAAGTGCAGCCCAATTCTCCTGCTGATCTTGCAGGTTTGAGGTCGGATACAGATTTTGTGATTGGAGCTGATTCAGTTTTACACGAAGTGAGCACCCACTCTATTCATTTCCCCTTAGATAATCTTTTGTTTCTCAGATAGCGTTACTAGAGACAGTAGAGTGAAAATGAAAGGCAGTCATTCTGTGAAGTCATAAACTTGGTACATGTGCTTTACGAGACGCTTCTTTAACAGTCTGGTTTGGAACACAATCTTTGAAACCTGAAATCTCAAACTGAAATGTACCGAAATCACATTGATTTTCAATTTCCTGTTGGACTGTCACTTAGAAAGGAAAAACACTAAAAGACTTTGTCATTAAAAAGTAATTTTAAGAATACAATTTTTGTTAATATTCATATATTGTTGAAAGTAAAAGGTACTGAATGTACACTATTCATAATTTTTTTCTTACAGTCTGAAGACCTGTTCACACTTATTGAATCCCATGAAGGTAAAGCCTTGAAGTTGTATGTGTACAACACGGACACAGATTCATGCAGGGAGGTTACAATCACACCTAATGGGGCATGGGGAGGCAAAGGAAGGTAAGTGTTTATTTTCACCCTTAACATGTTTGAAAACGTTCACAGGTTGTTGAAAATTGTAAAAGAAGGAGAGTACATATCTTTTCAATGAATGGTTGAAATGTTTTAATTTAGAACTAAATAAATTGAAGAATTTTGTTGACAATGTAATGAAAAAATTTTGCACCAATAATTTCAACTTCTAAGTAATTTTGAAAAGGAAATATCTACATAAGACATAAGTGATTTATTTATGCTGTTCAACTTGGTGCAAATGCCTAACTTTTGGATAGTTATTTTTGTTTTTAAAAAAACAGCAGGCTATTAAAATTTTACTTTGAGCAACTACGGATTTAACGGTGGATAATTATTAATTTTTTTTCAGTTTGGGCTGTAACATTGGCTATGGCTACCTGCACAGAATACCGAAGCGTCAGTTCCCTTCCAGTAAAGCTCCACCCCACAGCAATGTGGTCACACCCACAGCTCCTCCATCTCCACCCAAGGATGGCTTCTCTGAGGCTAGTGTTATAGCATTGTAGTGAAACAACTTTCAGCTCAACGCGCTCTCAGTCACCAACGCGATTTAAATAATCATTGTAAATTTAAAGATGAAGTATTTTTTTCTCCTTAAATAAAAGATTAAAATTTGACAATTGTTAAAAGAAAATTATTAACTAAAAAATATGTTTGGAATGTATGTGAATGTATTGTATGAAATTGTCCTTTGTGTTGTCCTTATTTGTAAGTATTTGTGGGATGTGATGAGAAATGTCTGTTTTTATGTCTCTCAAAATAATCCACCAGTCTGCACCATACCCTTGTGCCTCAATCTTTGGGATTTAGTGTTCTATTTGCCGCAAAGTTTTATACCTGTTAGGGTAGTAAGGACTATTAAATTTTTAATGAGTTAGGAAAGTAACTATTTGTATTATAATATATTTTTTTAAAAATCATTAATAGTGACTGCTGGTATGCAAATCAAATTAATCTTTCTTGTAAATATAACTTTTAAATTAAATATTTAGGCGACAACTGTTTAAAACATTAGCACATTCATGTACGTGGTGTTCAAGAAATCTATTTAAATATTGAAACAACAGCCAATGCCCAAAAGAATTTAATTTTTCTTTCTTACCTCAAAGCCATCAAATATCCAATTATAACATATCCAGGGACCCGAGTTATTAGATTTGTGTTGTACTTCATTTAAGAGTTTGTGAATGCCATAAATATTTAAAATAAACTTTTTATTTTCTAATTAAATATATCGGTAAGCGACCAGATTTCCTTCTGAATATTTATGTACACATGAATGAATCTCGTGTAAATCTTTTCATTACAGAATATCTTCTGCTTATCCAAGTTTATCATAAATTGATTAAACAAACTGATGTTTCTGTTCTTTCTGTGCTCAACTTCTGTGGTAAATGATCATAATTCATATCCAAATAGCTGGCAGTGACTCTCTGAGTGACGACAAGTTGATTACAAATTATTTCATCTGATTTCAGGTGTCTTTAAGTAGCTCCCCACAGATTTCAAGCTTGAACACTGGAATGGCACAGATTTCACTCAATACAGGTGATGATGAGATGTTCATGCGTCAAATTAATTTCATATTTAAATAAGTGTTATTTTGCTTTGCTAAGCATATCTGAAAGAAACCAATTTTTGGGGTAATTTTTTTGTTCGCTAAAATTTATAAAGTTATAACATACAAATTTCAATTCATTCTATTGTAAATGGGTTAGTGTGGCACCATAGTGATTATCAGGGAGCCTGGGTGGCAGAATGGTCTAAACTGAGCAAACCTCAAGATGGTGGTCTGGTGTTCAAGTCCAGCCAAAGGCCAGTCAAAAACATCACTCCTTGGTTGGCAACTCATCTAAGAGAAGGAAACTCTGAATTCAAACCCGGAGTTGGAGTCCCGTAAGGCGCATACAATGACAATTCCTGCAACCAAACCCATCCCTGGTCGTAGAGTATGAGGTAGACGCTGCGCAACTCTTCTTCACTTTAAACAAAGTCACCCGCGCAAGTCATCAGTCACCAGATATGACTCGTTGGTCCTCGTCGATCCTTGACGGACAAACAATAAAATATCAGGATGATGTGCAGAATGATTACAAACAAAAAATAAAAAACTTTATTGCCACCATAATCCATAACGAGATGCCCTACAGGGAAACATGACATACTCTCTTGGAACTAAAGTGAAATCCCTAAAATCTGGATTATAACATAAATATTAAAAAAAGGGAAGGCAGCAGAGGATGTCAAGAGCTATAGACCAATATCCCTGAACTCTACTAGCATTGGAAAACTTGCAGAGAGAATGATGAACAATCTCCTCTATTCTGGCTCCCTCAACAAATTTCAGAGCTGGACAGCATACGGATAATCAGCTCTTCCGCCTGAGTCAAAGGGTGCTAAATGGCATTGGTTTCAGAGCTGGACAGCATACGGATAATCAGCTCTTCCACCCGAGTCAAAGGGTCCTGAATGGCGTTGGTTTCAGAGCTGGACAGCATACGGATAATCAGCTCTTCCGCCTGTGTCAAAGGGTCCTAAATGGCGTTGGTTTCAGAGCTGGACAGCATACGGATAATCAGCTCTTCCGCCTGAGTCAAAGGGTCCTGAATGGATTTCAAGACATTTGTCACTTGCATATTTAAGATCAGTGGTGGAATACAGTTTTACACTACAGTCAATTTGCAGCAAGCAGTACAGGACTCTCACAGTCAATTTTCAGCAAGCAGTACAGGACTCTCACAGTCAATTTTCAGCAAGCAGTACAGGACCATCACAGTCAATTTGCAGCAAGCAGTACAGGACCCTCACAGTCAATTTGCAGCAAGCAGTCCAGGACTCTCACAGTCAATTTGCAGCAAGCAGTACAGGACTGTCACAGTTAATTTGCAGCAAGCAGTACAGGACTCTCACAGTCAATTTGCAGCAAGCAGTACAGGACTGTCACAGTCAATTTGCAGCAAGCAGTACAGGACTCTCACAGTCAATTTGCAGCAAGCAGTACAGGACTCTCTATTAAAATTACAAAGCCAAGCAAGCCATTTCATCTCAGGAGGTCTAAGATCTACCTCAATAGCAAAATGTGAAATACATACTTGTATTGAGCCGCTAAATCTTAGAAGAGAGGATATCAGTTATTGAGATGGTTGAAAGGTATGAGAGACCAGACAACCAACATACAAATAGACAAATGGTTGAAAAAGCGAGACCAAACCACAGACTTAAACAGAAATCGGTAAAGATGTGGCCAGTGAAGTTGAAGAGAAAATCACCTACCAACATACAGGAAGACTTACAAATCACAACTAAAGACCTATCCCCAAGCCAGCATTTACAAACCACTGGTACCAAAATAGACCTCATTGAAGAGATAGAAGAGTACAGACGCAGTACTCAGAATGATAGCTTCAGATAAAAACCATAGCATCCTACCCAAGGGATAGAATCCAAATATAACCAAAATATACACACCTTTCAAAGGAGCCTTGCATGCAGGTTTTGGTGTTCAAATGGAGTACCCACAGAAGATGTAACAAACTCTGTCCCCCCCGTGGGGTGATCTGCAGTAATTATGAAGCAGAAGGGACTGCTATTGAAGCAGTGTTACACCACCTATCAGGGAATCTTCAGCAGTTTATCCCAGCAAACAAAGTAATGTTGTTATCTCCTGTCGCTGCAAATCAAAACTTGAGGCAGCTAAGCATCAAGATCTCGCAACACTGAAAATAAACACTTGAAACCTACGGAGGAGTCACGCGAACCTTCCAATGGACACCAGGACATCACAATGTTCGAGGAAATGAAAGAGCAGACAAACCAGTAGAACGAGGAGCGTCCAGTGAACAGCCAAACATACCTTAATCAGCCAACTCTGTGAAGCGGATTATCAGAGCTAACAAAAAAGAAGAATGGTTGAATGGATGGGCAATGGTCTCAACAGGAACAGCCTGTTTTTGTACCCATGTCCAGCCCAATAAATTGCCTCCAAAGACATGAGCATGCCATGATCTTCGGCCTGCACACAGGACACATACAACTTAATTCCCACCATAACAGCATAAAACCAGATCAAACACCAATGTGCCCCCTCTGCAAACATGCAAATACCTTTATACCAGCAAAGAACAGCTGCAGAGAGTGTAAATTCTTCCCAGTGGCCATAGGCCAAAAGGCACATGCCCCAAAAGGGCATTGAATGATGATGGTCCCTGCCATCCTATATTTCCTTTGAATAGACTTGGCTGACCCTTTTTTTACTAGAAGAAGCGATGTGTTGAATTTGTGAGTGTACTGCATAGTATGTCTTAGTCAGTTGGCATACCTGAAATGAAAATCGACAATCAATAGTCATTTGAGGCCAACCACAATCTAGTTTAGTCCAAAAGTAAGGTTTGTTCTTCTTCATTATTTTGTGTTCATTTGTCTTGTAGGCACTCCAACAATTCCAGTGATTCCCTCTCATTATAACCTGCCATCAGGGCTGCCCAACATCTCTGCACTGCCTCCAGGTATTCATTATTGCACCTTTTATTACTTTAGTGGTATTAAAAAAATATTTTTTGGTAATATCGTTAATCATCATATATATATATATATATATGTGTATATATACATCACCTTTTAATTTTTATTACCAAATCATCACAGAGTTGTCAAATTTGTACCCCATTTCTTTTTCACAAGAGTGACCATGTTGGGCTGCTTGTTCCTTTTCTTTATATATAAATGAAAAGATGTTTTTCCTGTGGATTCCATATATATCAACATATATATATATATATATATTACACACATATATACATTCTAATTACCAAAAATTAACAATTTGCAAAAATATTTATGAACGTTCAGTGATTATTTTAAAAAATGTTAAACGTTTATTTTCCATATTTCAAGAGAGACAAATTGAGGTGTATATTAATAAATTGAAGTCTTCCAATCAACAATTAAATAAATATTTATGTATCTCTGAAAATAGAAAACTAGTCATGAATTAGGCATCTCTGATATGGGTAAGATTTCCAGTCTAACAAGTGTAACTGGGAAGAATGATTTAGAATGTTGAACTGCTCAATTTGTGATAAGTGTCACCTTCGTCTTGTCCTAGGTTTACCTCACCCCGTAGGCATTCCAAACTTATCAAACCTGCCAGGACTGACTACTCCCATATCTCTGTCAGGTCTGCCACCAATGTCATTACCACCCCTGAATCCAACAGGACCTCTGCCAGGCTTACCAGCAGGTAATTTATTCCTTTGAAGTAAATTAGAGTTACAAAAGGTGATAGAAGGAATAAAATGCCATTACACTAATTTGAAAAATTTACCTTCATACAATGTTTTTTATTTACAATAACCAAATTCAAATATACCAGTTTCAGAAATATGCACTACCATCTACAAAATCCTATGTAATAAGCTCCGTCGTTTTAACCCTCCTCAGGTCTACCCCACTTTCCCATGAACCTCCCCGCTCCCACTCCTCTTCCCAGTTTCACCTTGCCTACCAGTCTCTCTGGATTCACCCCTCCCCAAGGAGTCCTCAACGCAACCGCACCGTCCTCGGCGGCGAAAATAACCTTGGAGGGAGAGCATGGCCACTCTCATCAACATGGTGATTGGGACGGTCACGGCCATTCCCACGAAGGGGGTCACGGACACAGCCATTCTCACGAGGGTCACGGGCACAGCCACTCCCACGATGATCATGGACACAGCCACTCCCATGACGACCATGGACACAGCCACTCCCACGATGATGACCACCATCACCACCATCCAGTGGTTCCCAATGGGGTACCAGAACCCCAGCACCATGTCACATCATAGCCTAGATATGTATCAATGCTGAAATCACCTTTTAATTTTTATTACCAAATCATCACAACCAAATCATCACAGAGTTGTCGAGTTTGTGCGCCATTTCTTTTTCACAAGAGTGACCATGTTCCTTTTCTTTATATAGAAATGAAAAGATGTTTTTCCTGTGGATTCCAAATGTTAAGCAATCCACAACTGAAAAAATTGTAAAAACTTAGTTTATTCACAAGTTAAAGTTTTTAAAAAAAGTTGTGATGGCACTTGATAAATTATAGTTGATATCACCTTTTTTAATTTCAATATAGTTTTATTCTCTTTTGTCAATGTTTAAAAAAGTATGCTGGAAATTGATTAAAAAACGTAATTCAAAGAAGTGTAGAAAATACCTCTGTGAGTTATGATACCATGTGAAAGCACTTTTGTCCTACTCACAGTCAGTGTGTATAATGTAACACATCTGAACACATTATATTTTTTATGAGGGGTTGGGAGGAGAATTGGATTTGAATGAAACATAAATAAACCGGCATCATAATGTAATCTGACATTTGAAAACATTTTAAACGCTTAGTCAATTTTGGGTTTGGCTGATTATTTTCAAAAAACTTAACATTCAGTACTGGTAGTCCATTGAATTTGGGTTCTTTCGGTACTGCATTGAATTTGGGTTCATTCCGTATTTAAATGAGAAATATCCAGTTTTTCAACAAGTTGCTTCAGTTTGATTTAATATTTGTATAAAATAAAATATTTGTGCTGATGAATTCTTTAAAATGTTTTAATTCTGGAATAAATGATGAAGAGCAGTTCTGAAGCAATGTCTGGTAAACACAGAGACTTGAGCTCTAATAACTTTAAACTCTAAATTATGAGCATGGAGGAATTTTTTTAGAATAAGTACAAGTCATAGAATACCGATTGGTATTGACCTTTTACTTCTGCTTAATTCAATTTATCTATATTATGTTGTTTTTTTTTTTTAATCACCAATAATAAATGGATGTTTTCCCCAATTAAAAAAAAATATTCATCTTTATAAGGTGTTAAGCCATCCAGTTATATAAATAGTTACGCCATCCAGTTAAATAAAGAGTTAAGCCATCCGTCTAACAGGCCAGATGAACAAAATTTAGATTAAGTAAGTGATAATAATCTTTACTCAAAGCCTTTCATAGCATTTCCTTTAATTTTTTAGGATGCTGCATTTCATGCTCACTTCAAACGTCAATGACTAAAACATGGATGCCCATCATTTAAATAGCTGAATTATTAATTCATAGATTTATTATTGAATAAAATACAGATGTAAGGTATATCTCCATAAATTCAATGAGAATATAGTTGCAATTGCAAGCATAACAACCACTATTGGATGAAGCAATGTACGGTAGAGAGAACTTATCTTTGTTAGAGAGTATTTTGTTAAAATGGAAATGGTTAGCCTCTCCTTAAAATTTTGATAGAAAGAATGTCATATAATTGTTGGTTGGGTTTAACTCTTTCGCTGCGGAACAGCGCACACTGCGTTCATCTGCTGTGCATCATCAAAAGCACGGACCAACGCGCGCTGCGTTGTTTAAATATCATGTTTGTTTCTTTGCTTTTTCTCCGTAAACCTTTTAAAGAGCAATTTTTTTAATAAGATTTTTACATAGAAGAGTAGTACTTCATTGTTTACAAGCAAAATCAAGGTTTATTTGTTGTCATTTGGAGCATTATTTTGACGGTTTTCTTCAAGTTTTTTTCTACTGTTGCTATGGCTACGCTAAGCCCTAGTAGGTGAGTAAGTTCCCTAGGTGATTAACAGCTCAAGAAGCTTTGGATTTGTTCGATACTGTTTCTTTTGATAGTGAAGATGATTTATATTTAGATCCATCGGATGATTCCGATAGTAGTAGTTTTAGAGGATTTAAGTCATATAAGTCAAGGTGAGGTATGCGTACATCATAGGTTTTGGGGCAAAAATTGTTTAGCATATAATTTCTCATGTTATGGTTCTTTTCTGTAACTTATTTTATTTAAACTAAAGAAATAAATTTACAAACACACAGTCCTTTCAGTTTTCTTTCATTTGATACCAAGTTTAGTCTTATAAACCAAAAAATAATATTTTAAATAAACCTAATCTCTCACTCTTTTTTGCTCTTCTAAAAATAATATACATTTTTTAAATAAAAAAATTCCACAGCGGAAGAGTTAAGAAAGAATGTCATACAATTCTTGGGTGGGAGTTAAGAAAGAATGTCATACAATTCTTGGGTGGGAGTTAAGAAAGAATGTCATACAATTCTTGGGTGGGAGTTAAGAAAGAATGTCATAATTGTTGGGTGGGGGTTAAGAAAGAATGTCATACAATTCTTGGGTGGGGGTTAAGAAAGAATGTCATGATTGTTTGGTGGGGGTTAAGAAAGAATGTCATAATTTTTAAGTGTGGTGTTATAGCTTCGAATGTTTACAAAATGTCAGGAGATATTTGTAACTATAATTATTATTTTTTTAATAAATTTCTTGACCTGATTTGAGCCAGGTCTTTGACAGGGTTTTCGTGACTGTAGGTGATGGCTCAGTGGTTTCTGTTGTTTGAACAAGTGATTGTTTTATATTTATACCAGTATTTTGCTATCTCACTAGAAACTTGTATTCAACCATTATTACTAGGCATGACGTCCTGTGTGCAGATTGATTGACTTGTCTGTCATACAGTTGATACAATTTGTGTGGAAAGTGGATTATCTTATCTCCAGAAGGTCTAACATACAGATAGCACATATATAATTATCATGCTTTGGATGTTTACCCACTGCCTAACTTAAGAGAAAGCAATGTAATGAAAGAAAAGAAATTTTAAGGGGGGGGGGGGGAACAAAGTCCCATGTGGGATCCTGCACATTAACCTTCTGCTTTCTCATCCTTGACTTCAATAATTTTTACTCCTTGGCTTGGAGATTTCTTCATTTTTTTAATTCTTTTTTTTTTTAGTCTGAGTTCAAGGAAACTTAGAAAATTCTTCCTAGATCTTACCTGCTTTCTCTGTTATAATAAAATTATTATATATTTTTATTTATTTTTTTGTCGTGGGGGGAAAAAATTAATCTTTTATTATTAGCTTTTGTTCACTGTCTTGTGAAAATCTTTTTTAAAAAAATAAATAAAATCACGAGGCAATGGATGTATCTTATTATCTGATGTATCATTTTATTATGAGTTATGTTATACATTTAATGAGCTTGAAATTTGGTTGATGCATATGACGACTTTTCATATGACTAACTTATTTGTTTCACAATAAATGCAGATGTGATAACCATTGTGGATTTAAACAAATTAAAAAAAAAAAAAAAAGTTTTGAAATTATTCAACAGTAGTTTCCTGTTTTCGTAGGCTTTAGATTGTACAGTTTTGTGCTTAGTAATATTTCAGAGTACTGGCTTAACACCAATGAAAGATTGATTATTTAAAAAAAAAAAAAAAGAGTCTTAGGCACTACTCTTATTTTCACTCTTAAACTCCATAGACCTACATATTTGTCATCTTAATGCAAAGACAAAATAGATTCTTAAGGTCTGTGACCTATAAAAACAGGGGGGGAAGGGGGGGTTGATTTTAAAGAGATAAACTGGGGAGGGGGTATTGTGACTTATGAAAACAAGACTGACCTATTTGTTGTATGCTAGCAAAGGCAACAATGTTTTTAAAGTCTGTGACCTATGAAGACAGGTCTGACCTCATTATTGTCTGCAAGCAAAGGCAAGAGAGTTTCAGTTTTTGTTGTTTCATCTGTTTGCTACCATTGTTTTATGTTCTTATGAAATTTGAACACATGTAAGATAAACTTTTTGTGTATGGGGGGGGGGTTGATTTTAAAGAGATAAACTGGTGAGGGGGTATTGTAAAGAATGGGGGGGGGTTGATTTTAAAGAGATAAACTGGGGTTGAATGTAAAGAGGTAAACTGTGGGTGATTGTAAAGAGGTAAACTGTGGGTGATTGTAAAGAGGTAAACTGTGGGTGATTGTTCTCTACATAAACTGGGAGTGATTGTAAAAAGATGAACTCATGGATGATTATAAAGAGATAAACTGATGGTTGATTGTAAAAAGATAAACTAATGGGTGATTGTAAGGATATAAAGTGATGGATGATTGCAAAGATATAAATTGATGGGTGATTGCAAAGATATAAATTGATGGGTGATTGCAAAGATATAAATTGATGGGTGATTGCAAAGATATAAATTGATGGGTGATTGTAAAGAGATAAACTGATGGGTGATTGTAAAGAGAAAATAAAATAAACCCACTGTGTTGATCTGGGAAAAGGGGGGGGGGGAGAGATTTGGATGATGATCCAAAAAATATGTTCTTAGTGATTGCAAAGATATAAATTGATGGGTGATTGTAAAGAGATAAACTGATGGGTGATTGTAAAGAGAAAATAAAATAAACCCACTGTGTTGATCTGGGAAAAGGGGGGGGGGGGAGAGATTTGGATGATGATCCAAAAAATATGTTCTTCATTGCAATACCTCATTGTTTTCAATTGTCCTTTAAAATGAGCAGCTAGCTATAGGTATAATGGATTTTTAACAAATAAAAACTTTCATCTCGTTGTATTTTCCTACAAAAAAGATTATAAGATAGTAGTTTAAATAGTCACTACGGGTCAAATTAAGATTTAATTATTGCACTTCAAAAATTAAAAACTTATTTTTTAATCAGGCAGCAAGGGAGATAATGAATGCCAGCCGCATAGATAACTTGCTATTTATAGATGACGTTAGCAGACATCACATCTACAGCTGAGGAAAATGTATGTTTGAGTCACAGCAACTTCCAAACAAATATATTGTAGTGTTGACAGGGGATTGTTTTGTCGTTAATGTATTTATTTTTAAAGTAAAAAAAAAAAAAAAGCTGATTCTATTGGATGAGGTGCTCATTATTATATTTATGGAAGTCGGGTGAATTTATCGTAACTAAGTTTCAGAATATGAAAGTTATCTTTTCTTTTGTGTCAGTTTAAGAAATTGTTAAGAGTTACCTCTCCTCGACATTATAATTATTATATAGCTTCATGCTTTCTGTTATAAATTTTTAAAAAAAAATTAAAATTAAAAAAAAGTAATACATTTAAACAAACTCTATTACTTTGTTTTCCATTAAACGCTTGTTTTAACATTTGACTTTGTGGCTGTATTCGAAATTCGTAATACCATAAGTTATAAGCACGATCATTTCATCCCCCACCCCACCCCAATTTTCAGGTCCTTTTGTATACATTAAGCAATCTCCCTCCAAATCTTTGACTTACCACAAGTTGCCGACTTCTGGTTCCACGTTGACCTATCAGCAGTAACGACATGGGGAAGGGGGGAGGTTGCGGACCGCACCGGGGGGGGGGGGGGGGGGGGGGGCCGGCCCGGGGGGGCGGGGGGGGGGGGGGGGGGGGGGCTGGGTGTCACATTTACCGGAGGGGGGCACAACAATAGGAAAATTGGTAATATTTTACACTGCAAGATTAAAAAATCGAGAAGGTTTCAAAACATATCTTAGTATAAAAGCAGGTTACCAACAGAGCAACTTGTATTTGATCAGGTTGTCAGATTCGGAGGTCCAATGAAAGGGTGGGGGGGGGGGGCGGAATCTGGAGAAGGTGACACCCCGAGTTTTCCGTACTACATGAAGTACATGACACAAATCCTAGTGACGCCAATGCTCAGCAGAACTTAATAAGTAGTATGTGGCCCCTTAGCTTTATATCTTCCACGTCTGTTAAAATTTAAAATGGTCCATATCTTATAATAACACCCCCCAAAAAGTGGGTCACAAACGGCTCAAATTCAGAAAACGTACCCACCCCCCACCCCCCCTTCCCCACTTTCCACCCACAGCCCCGCACAACGGCCTCAGATAAACCAACTTTGGTACCACTATCTCTTTGGTCCGTGAACCACCGTTGGAAACGTGTTCCAGCGAGATCTTACCCATCAAAGTCAAGCATCCTGTATCATAGGATCAGTTGAAATTGAAACGAGCGTGGAAGATTCATTTTAAAAAAAAAAAAATTCTTTGACGTTTCTGGAGTGTTGGAGTGTTCTAAATAATGAAAACTGGAGACAGTATCGAGCGTGTTCATTGGCTCACTGGCCTGTTCATGAACTTTAATTTCTGAGCTTATCAACAAATTTTGGTTGTGTTGGACAATTTTTAAAATTCCGTGGATGACGATTCAGGTCTTTTGGAAAAAAAAAGGAATTTGTAAAACATGAAATCAGCAAGGGAAAACAAAATAAATTAATGCATTCACTTTGTCAACGTGTTATGTTTTGGGGGAAAATATAGTTTTGATATCTTTAACGAAAAGAAGGAAAGATATAAATCAAAGCAACTACGCTCAGTGAATCACAATGAAGAATGGAAAAATTGACGGTGTCGTTGAACAAGAATCTAGGAACCATTGGACCCAGATCCCTCCTAAGAAGACGTGCTTCGCCATATCTTTGGCTTACACGCTGGTGTACACGGCATTCGAAGCTATCCAGAACCTGCAGGTGAGTGGATCGGATGATGCATGTGAATCGGATGTACGGTTGCAAAATAGGGTTGTGTTATCTAAACGTAATCTCCTTGTGTGTAGCGAGGCATGGGGGGGGGGGGATTCCTGAGCTACTTACGCCGGGAGAATCATGCACTGTCATTGGTGAAGAAGGAGAGAGGGTGGGCGTAGGGGCTGTCCATCCCGGGACTCATTTTTGTGTGTTTTTTTTACTGATCTAGATTCGGAAATGAGGGGGTGGGGGTGCTTTGAAAACTAAATATCCTCACCAGGAAACAATGTTCAAGTAATTACCAGATTCGCTAAAACTACTATATCTATTTTAAAAATTATTACATACTGAAACCTCTTTGAGTATCTAAATTCTCTCTTTTTCTTTAATGTTAAGGACACTTTGCATTAGTATGTTATCGTCCTATCGTAATTTTTAAAAATTAATTATATTATTCTTCATCCTCAGAGTAGCATCAACAGCGGGGGGAACCTGGGAGTAACGTCCCTTGCCATCAGCTACGGGGTCGTGTTGATCTCGGCCCCTCTCAGTCCTTACCTCATCCGGGTGTTTGGCATCAAGAACTACCTCCTGGCTGCATGGGTCGCCGTCGCGCTCTACTGCTCCTGCAACTTCTACCCGGCCCTGGCCACTTTCATACCAGCCTCCATCTTAATGGGCGTGGCCATGGGGGCCCTGGGTATGATCATAGGGCTCTACCTTTCCGCCGCCGGCAAATCGTACGTGCTCTTGAACAATCTGAGGAGCGACCGCCTACACAGTGTCTTGAGCCTATTCAACGGGATCTTCTTCATGAGTTTCAAGTCCACGCAGATCACAGGCAACTTGATTTCGTCTGTCGTTTTGTCATCGTCCCCTTACAACAGGTCGACGAGTGAGAACAACGTCTGCGGGGCTGTGGTGTGCAGCGCCACTTGGGATAACTCGACTGTAGAAATCGAGTTACCCGAAAAGGATGTCTTGTACATTCTCGTTAGCGTGTTTCTCGCGTGCATAGCAGCCGGGTTTGTGGTGACGCTCTTGCTGTTGCCGAAGTTGGATGTCTACGCCGACGAACCGGAAGAGTGGGCGGCTCTGAATGACGGAAGTGAGACGAAGGATCGGCGCGTGGCGAAGAAGAGCGTGCAGAGGAAACACGCCCTGGAAAACGCGAAGAGCTGTATCGGACTGCTGAGGAGCTCTTACGTCTTGCTGGTCCCCCTCTTTATGGCCCAGGGGATGTCTGTGGTCGTGCTGTTTACAGGATACACCCAGGTTGTTAGAGTCTGTGGTTTGTATCGACTCAAAGGTGGACATTTTAGTGTAGAAAATCGTTTACGACAACAAACAACAACAACAAACGGCAAGGGGTTGGGGTATTTAATTAACTACAAGTGAACGGGATAAAAGCATTTTTTTGTTTACAAATTCATATCCAATATAATCAATATCTTTCCCGTGAATATAAATTTTAAACGTATTTGATGCTTTTAAACATACTTTCTTGAACTTTTAATATTGTAGTTTTGGTCCATGTGTCCTAAGTTTAAATGGAAAAAAAAACGAAGACAGGCTGTTAAAACTGTGAGTTATTTTATTAATGTGTTTATCTTCTGTTATTTTATTTCAAAAGTATTCTACTTGTGGGGTAAAAACAAAACAGGTATGACGCTCTTGGACGTTATGTTGAAATTTCGGGACCACTGTGTTTTGAATCAGCAATGATTTGAATTGTGCTTTAAAAAATGATCAAAATGTAATATTTTACTGTGAAAAAGTAGTTAAGCGATTTCTGTTTGTGTTAAGTAGTCAAAAACGATATACATTTAAAAAAACAAACAATTTAGGCTGAAGAAAAATGAAGACAATTTTTTACTAGGAATAGATCTTACATTTTTGTTTCTCACGTTCATTTCTCTCTCATCTCTCTCCCCCAGGGTTTTGTCAGCTGTAGTGCTGGAATCCGCTGGGTCGGCTACACGATGATCGCATACGGAGCTTCCAGCAGCCTGGTCGCGCTCTCCTTGAACTACCTGGTGCGCTATTTGAACAGGTCGATCCTGTTCGTCGCCTTCATCGGCACGGATATCGGTTTAGCCGTCGCCATGCTCGTCTGGAGACCTGATTCGGGCACGCATTTCGGCATGTTCTTCATCATCCCTGCACTGGCCGGTCTAACGGAGGGCATTTCGCAGCCACAGTTCAATGGTGAGATTAATTCTGATAGAATCAAGTATAAAGTAGTAAAAAGTTAAAGTATTGCTTAATTGACCTACTCATATGGACCCGTTAGTGCTATCTTATAGCTGCATAGACCACTGATTCTCCAAGTAGTGGCGCATTGTAAAGGTCCCCTAGTTGCCGGTGTTAAAAAAATTAAAATGTGTTTAGATCTAAAAATAGCAATCATAAATTAAATAAACTGGACATTCGGTCACACGTGAATTGTGGATAATTCCAGCAGATCCGTCCCAATGAGATATTTGAGGTGAACAGGTGTATATAACAATTTTTAAAAAGTGGGGTGTTAATGAGGTGAGAGAGAGACAGGATAATATATATATATATATATATATATATATATATATATATATATATATAGATATATATATAGATATATATATATATATATATATATAGATATATATATATATATATTATATAAAGAAAGGGGGCTGGGGTTGCCTGATTTTGTTAAAATATTTTTTACTGGCGCTAATATAGGGTACGTCCAAATTTGTGTAAAACAGAGTAGCGTGCCCATGGTTTCCACCTACTTTTACCACTTTGGCTTTGAGTCCAAAAATCATGTGTGTTGGTTCTAAACTCGAATGCAGGAAGTTATGTAGGCTTAATTAAAACATGCCCAATAATAGAGTTTTTAAAATAAAATTTACACTGTTACTCTGAATAATATATTTCCTCTCAATTCACGATCAAGTCACTGGTACTTGTTTACATAGCCAAACCATGACAACCGCAAATGATATGAAAGCGGAAATGATAATCACCAACCCATTATGCATTTTTCACTTCAAAAATATATTTTTTTTCCTTCGTGATCGTACCCCATAACATGGCTAGGACTACTGTTTTTTTTTTTTAATGTATCAAATATATGAATAACCTACAAAATAAAAAAATATATTAAAAAACCAACTCTACTTTTTTAAACACCATTTATTTATCCATTGCATTTTGTTTGTGTGGGAATGTGTGGGAATGTGTGGGAATGTGTGGGAACGATTTCTTTCATGTGAGTTTTAAATTTTAAAAAATCTTTCAGCTCTGATCTCAACGGTATTCAAGAAGAATGAACCCCAAGCGTTCGCCTGCTTCCATCTGTCCAAATGCATGGCGTTTGCCCTGTCCCTAGCGCTGTCCGGCGTCGCCTGCCTGTACCACAGACTTTACTTGACCCTGGCGCTGTACATTCTTGGCTTTGCTGGGTATGTCGTGTTCGAAGTGCGTGAAAGGAGAAAAAAACAGTCGGTTGGAGAAAACGAAACCGGAAGTCTCCGGAAGCCATGATGAATGACACGTGATGCAGTAGCCATGCCACATCCAACGAAGTAGCGTTGACACTCTTGCAGTAAATCTCAGTAAAATACGAGAGTGTCTTCTTACACGCTATAGTAGTGAGTATTGGCTGTTAAATTGGGTTTTTATTCATTTACTACAATAGCTTTTCCCATTTAACTTGGCATGGCCATTACTGCTGTCGGCATGGATTCGATGAGCACCCCCCCCCCATTTTTTTTCTCCCCCACCTTTTACAAGCATTCCCCACATCATTGAAAGATTAAACATAAATCACCAATTCCATTAGAAAAGGAGACATTAAAAAATAAAAGTATTTGCATTCTGAACTTGGATTAGTGAAGTGGATGTAGTTCATTTTACTCGGGTCCAATCACGCGGTCTTTGAGGGCGAAAAAATCTAGGGCCTCGTTTTGAATATGGCGACATGCGTGTCTATGTCAGTGTTAAGAAAAAAAATGTTGCACGGTAAGAGTACTAATAAATATTAATGCACAATAATAGTGTTCTTGTTTTAGTTTAAGAACATTTATAAATTAATCAAAATATGACTTAAGTGTCTGGCGTAAACCGTGGGTTGTAGGGGGTGGGACGGGATGTGGCAACCCCCCCCCCCAAATGTATTGTCATATAATATACATAAAAAATGATTATTTGAACGTCTTCTCAATATTTCGTACGGGAAAACGTGAAGAGATAGATCGGCTGGCTCAATGTAGGGTGCTGACCCTGTTTCTAGCACGGGCTGGTGTAGCGGAGGGCAAACCGCTGCCACAGTTCAATGGTGAGATTGTTAGATAATCACGTCTAGCGATGTAGTTAAAGTAGTGCTTAAATGAAATGACCACGGGGGGGGGGGGGGGGGGTAGTAAAAATTTTTAACCGCTAAATGGTGGGTGCGGAGTTT